TTGCCCCCCTGTGAGGACAGTCATATGCAAATAAGTTGTAGAATTAACCCTGTCCTAATCCTATGAGTTGGCTAATATCCAGTGATTTTCAAAAGTATTGGATACACACACGTCAGGATCCAAGCGATATAAAAGATTGACATGCAAATGACTCCAATCCAAGAACATGCGATTGTTCATGTATACAATTTTACAGTCATTTATAAGAAACCATTCAACGGCAGAGAAACTATTCAATTCCTGAAAATTGGTGTAAAGGTCTGTTCACACGATCCAATTTTGTTGCATTCAATTCACTTCTGATGGATGTTTTATCGTCTGTTGACTTGCAATGTATGTGGGCAACAAATCAACGTAAACCAACACAGTACTGCTTTATCAATAACTGACTTCATTCCATTCGTCAAAGTGAATTGGGTCCAACAAAGTTGGATTGTTTGAACAGACCTTAACGAATCCACATATGGTAGTGTTGTTCCAATCTAATTGACAACGTTCTTTATGCAAATACCTAACACTCTCAAATGTTTGATCTTGACATCATTCATAGAATCAATATCCGGAATCTATGACGTCTTATAGAACCAAATTGAATTGTTGTGGTTTTCACCACTTATTCCAACTCATTGATTCAGTCATTATTAAGTGAATAAACTTTATTAAAGTTTATTAACCGTTTTTAGACACAAACTGAGAAACTAAAGCTTAGAAGGCTCGTTGCTAGTGAAGCATTTTCTGCTTTGCCTGGTTAGTTTAACAGAACAAGGGAAGGAAATAAATAAACAACAACGATATTAAACGTTAGAAGCAGGGGTGGATTTGTAGCACTAGTGCACAAATTTGCATTACAAAAGAAAGTGGTTATTATTAGCAGTTCCTGGATACACCCCTGGTTAGAAGCTTGTAGATTATTGCAAAGCATCATTTTAGAGGCACCAGATTTTGCGGAAATCTGGTTAATAAACTTTGCATGAGCCTTTATTCAATTTTTAAAGCCTTAGTAAGTACCGAAAAGCATTCGTCGCCACAGTTTACCAGTAGGATGAAATGTGTGTTAGAGTAGGTTCCGAACACTATTTTGTTCTTAATAATTGTACTAAATTTGTGCTTTTTTGGAAATGCAATTTGTCCAGACACACAAACGCTGCAGGTGTCAAGCTTTTCATAATTGCCATTAACACCAGAGCTGTGCAAGAAACCAAAACGAAGGATAAATTTACATTGTCACTGTCAAACGTTTTGGGGATAAAAATATACGTTCCCTATAATTTAATCCCATCCAGCTACCTTACTTTGGTATTGTCCTTCACACTTCAATGAAAATTAATTTTTCTGCCTGATAACATAAAAAACAAATTCCGAATAAACAGGACATCTTGAGAGTCAAAATATATGAATCAAACAAGACACATCTTCAGACTGTTGAATTTTCGACTTTCTGTCTGAAGATTTTATCGATTAGGGTCCAACTGTCAAATCGCTTGCCCATAGTCAAAAAGTCATCATAAAGATATTTAGGTCCGAGAAGAATTGTTTCCATTAAAAACATTACAGGGTCCAAGTCTGGAAGAGGAGTCGTTTATATAATATTATAAATATTTTTAGGTACAAAATAAGTAGGTATTACAGCTTACAATATTGATCACATTTTCACAATCACCCATTTTATCTTGAACGATATCTTAGAATAGTGTGTTACACTGTTCATATGTATTTTGTACATCTGGCGAACATAGTGCACACTTACCTAGAGATTTACAATAATTATAGCAAATCGTGTTAGTTCTACAATTACAGTGAAATACATCCATGCTACAATCACTGACAAAACCTTTCCGGACACTTACTATTTTCGTTCATTTTTTGGACAGCTCATTAAAAACAGTGGCTTCTCCCCCGTCCCCCTCTTCAATGTTGGCTAAAGGCAAATTTGTTTCTGTAGAAAGCCTTTGGAGCGACAGTAAGTAATATATTAAGCCATATTTTTTATATTCAACATTGAAAGGGGGCGGGGGGGGGTACAAGGGGGGTTCATATTGAAAATTTCAGTGAAATGTCCGGAGAGTTTTGTCACTGATTGTAGCTTGCATGGTTTCTACGTAGAAAGAGCCATCAATCATTTCTAGTTCAGTGATCCATCCATTCTAAAGTGGCTTAGAATCCTTCAAAGGGTACCCATTAACCATGCTCGAATAGATTTGTCAATAAGCTTATTTTAGATCAATGATCATTCTCAAGAGGCTTGAACATTCGCCAAGATGCCTGTTCATTGCTTCGCGCTCCGTCAGCTTTTCCCATTTCCGTTTCATACTGGTTCTGATTTGAGAAGCTCAGGGTATAAATATAGGCTAGCCAAGGATGTTTGCAGCAGTTTACACACTCAAAACTTTAAGGGTAAGTTCTTATTTGTTATTCACGCGTTTCTATATTATATCTTTTTTCGTGTGATTGCAATCTCAGAAACACATGCAGTGAATCATAGACATCTCGTGTGATTGCAATCTCAGGTTTACATGCAGTGAATCATAGACAATTTTGTGTATATATTTTGGTTTATAATTTCTCCTTGAAGGGATACCGTCATAGGAATAAGGTCTTGAACAATTAATCGACTGTCATTAACCATCTTTAAACGAATCTTACTTACCAAACGGTGGTTAACCTTTTGATTGTTTTCATTTTAGCGAATCGTACCAAGTTGAAGAGATATTTTTGAAAATGAAGGTGATTGCACTTGCCGTTGCTATCGTGACTTTCTTCCCTGCCTTTGGTACCTGTCAGTACCCTGCGCTTAATCTCGTTCAAAATGGTAAGAATTACTGAACAAAGAAATTGATTTTGTCGGGCGAATTCAATAGTTCGTTCATTGTTACAACATAACAGGGGCAGGTTGTACGAAGGATTTTGGAAAAGCATCTTTCCCCTTAAAAACATTTCACAGTGTAGAATTGTCCTTCATTTTAGCTAATTGCGCAACCCTAGTGCTAACTTTTGAGTACTGAAAAGCATTAGACACCACAGTTTACCAGTGGAAAGGAATCTGTGTTCTAGTAGGCTTCAGAAATCTACATGCATTAAATTTGCATATTTTACGAATGTATCGGCGTAATTTATCCGGAAGCAAACGCTAGTGTCAAGACGCAAGTGTAAAACTTTTCCATAATCGCAATTAACACCAGTGCAGTGCAAGAAACTAGAATGAACAAATCCAAACTTCCTATAATCTGTTCGTATCAAGCAACCTTAATGCAATTTCTTCCATATACGCAAACTTTCTGCCTCTTTATTTTTAACAGATGTGGATAAGTTTTTCTGTGGTGACTACCCAGACTGCACTTGCTCACCCAAAACTGGTTCGTGTCCTTACGGCTATAACGAATGTGACGACGTGAAATATTGCAGACTTGGCGAAAATAAACCCTGCTGCAAGCAGACCTTCTGCGGAGATTACCCATCCTGCACATGCGAAGACAAATCACGATCATGTCCTTGGCGATACCATGATTGTGCTTACAAAAAGTCCTGTAGACTTCCCGGCAACAGAGCGTGTTGTAAACAAACCTTCTGCAGTGACTACCCAGCCTGTTACTGCTACGATAAAAATCTTGAATGTCCCTACAACTACTTTGAATGTGGTGACTTGAAGTATTGCAAGCTTGACGGAAACAGAGCCTGCTGCCAGCTTAAATAGAAACTCGTTTTTGGGACTGTAACGTGAAATAGGTGCAGTATTTTCATGTAATGTTTTGCTTTTAGATACCTCTTTTTTGTATGAAGAATAAATATATTTCGACATAATAATGCTGTATATCCACTTTTTTCCACTTACAATAAAGCACCTTGTGCCAGAAATAATATAATAGGCAGGGGTGAGGTATGCTATGTTCATACTATAACCCCTCGCAGTAATTGAAAATATTTCTCTCAATATTGTCCAATGATGGATATAAATGATTTTTGTTGAAATAATAAATACCTTTCTTTCTCTTTGAGCTAGTGCTTCGCTCTTGCCCATAAGTATATTTGGTCAGGGTGATGTCTTAGTGGCTATACAGCTACCTCTTTCATATATATTATGTAGCGTGTGCGCATACATGACATAATGCGCGCGTGCGCAGTTGCAGAGTCCCAATGGACAGAATAAACGCCAGGACAAAGATTTTAAGGCCATTTAAGAACGAGTCTTTTGGATGAAAGATTGATCATAATACAATTACATCCTATAGGAATGCTCGAATGTTTCTATATTATTGATGATTTTAAATGTTTCTATATTATCTATAATTTTAAATGCTTCCATAATATCTATGATTTTAAATGTTTCTCTATTATTATGATTTTAAATGTTTGTATAATATCTATGATTACACTGATGCACTGACTATAATCACCGTTGCAAGGCATAAATATAATAGATGTTTTAATTAAAACTAAATACAATTTTTATGAAGTCGTAAAAAGAGAAATAATCTCCGTGACAATAGCTCATATCTGTCTAGTATAGAGAAAGTAAACAAAATGGCCGAAAGATTTGGGGAGTTGAGTGAATGGAAATCCAAGCTTTAGTTGATAATAGCACACCAAAATCAGCCCATATTCGACTCGAGTTCGCAGAATAACTGTTAATTATTACCAATCAATGAAAAGTCCATTCTTTATTGATGGAAAGAATAAGTGTTTAAAAAAATTTGCAAATCAAGCTCTTATCGAGTGAAAATACCTGCATATAATTTTTATGCGGTGACTGAGATCCCACTCAATAAGTTTGGATGTGAATGAGCTAAATTGAGCTTTTAGAATACAGGCAAAGTCCATGCATATGTTATTTGAAAAAAAACGTAATTAACAGGGAAGAAATTAGTTTTCCGTACATCTTAGTGGCCATTTATTGACCAAGCTGTTAAATAATAAAAATTTAGAAGCATTTGAAATTAGCCCGCTGCTCAAGAGAGTGAGGTTCCCAGGCTAAACAAGGATAGCAGTAAAACTGTAACTTAATATAAGATTTTACATAAAACATGTATTTCATGAATCACAGTGTAACACAGACCCTTCCAATGTTTCTCCCAAACGTTTTTCAACATAATGAAGCATTTTTGAGGCCGCTTCAACAGCTTCTTCTGCCTCCCTTTTGTCAAAAGCTTTAGCAGGAACAACATACGGCGGTTGACAGTTTGGATAGCGGGTTTTCAAGTAATATCCCGTAACTATTCTCACCCACTTCATGACCATCTCGTCCGGCAGCCCTATTTCTTTCTTGAGCTCTTCTCCTAGTTCAAGCACTTTGTGATTTTCAAGACTGCGACCGGAAATGCCACAGAAGTTGAAGAACATGGCCTTTAAGCATTTCTCCACCACTTGCTGACTCTGGAAACACGCATGCGCATTGAAGGGTGCACCGGATTGAAGTAACCATTTAGCACCATCCAGGTCATTAATAGATTGTTGTAACCAACGTCTCGCCTCGTTACGATCTTTTGAAAAAAATCTTTCATCTTCTGCTTTATCTGTAGTCCTGGCAAACATTTTTATAAGCACTTTTAACAGCCAATTTTGCTTACAATGACTATTACTCTTAATTTTAAAACTTAAAAATCCTTATTAGTAATCCTATCTTAACTTCTCAGACCTTCATGCTAAAAATGGAACTATTACTCTTTGTTACCAGAGTGCAAACTGCTTCTTCCTTATGCTAACCAACTACTGGTGAAGCTATGATATAATTTAATAATATAATATGATGTAATTCTCACCTTGAATTACCCCCAATTACACCATAACTCGAGTGATATCGATCACCACGATAACCAACTGCGTATCCGTCATGATCATGATAATTACCTGAACCCACACCCAGATTCATCCCGTAATCCCCACCATGATACACCCTCGTCTCTTCATGTCGAGCGGGAACACCACACTCTCTATTGTACAGACTTTCGCGAAAAGATAGGTCGTCATCCAAAGAATCGAACTCGTCAGCTGTGTCGGAATGGATTTGGGGTATACCGAGAGCATTCAACTTAACAGAAATATCATTTGGTGATGAACATCCCAGCATTTTAATCAGTCCAAATTTTTCGTTTATGCATTCTCCAAGGATCGCATCAATACATGAAGCAATAGAAACCAAGTCGTCTTCAAATTCGTGCTGAATGAACAATATCCACGATTCTTCGCGATGTACTGCATAACAACTGTCTTCCAATTCATCAATAACTTCATTGGTATCTCGACGTATGACATTGATCTTTATCATACCAAATCCTGTGCATTTCACTTGGACACAAGTGATAAGCCTTCTTATTATATGCTCGAAGCTTTGTGGATTACGTCTACCCTTAATCAGTAACCGTTGAAGGCCTTCGTTGAACTCTTTAGATTGCAACAAATTTTCATATCGTTGTTGAAAGTGACACACAGAGTCATCTTTCGCCTTAGGACATATGCCATTTTGAGATTCCTGATCCACTTCTTCTCGAACTAGCTCTTTGAACTTTTTCGGACGTAATTGATCAGGAAGTTGATTGATATAATCACAAGCGGCCTTCTTCAATCCACACGCCTCGAATCGCATCAACAAAGGACGTCGGAGTCTTTCAGCAGAATCTGTATACCTTGACGAAACCATACAAACCATTTGAGACGATTTGACAAGACATTTACGCTGACTGGGCAAATACAGCTCATCGATGCCGTGAAGGTTCTCGCCTTCGTAAAGACGTTCAAAGAGTAAATGCATTGCATACTTGACTTGCATTTCTTGATCGGACGATAGCACGCCGTCCCCAACTTGTTCGTGAATTGATCTCAGAACGTAAGCAATCTGAAACGTGGTTGGTCTGTCGGTTGCGCCCAGTCGTTTAAATAGATCTTCGAAAACGCCGAATTCTAGAGGTATGACATAGAGGAACGGTTTAAAGTCGCATTTGTCGTGTAGTTTAAACACCAGCTGTTCCGCTTTAACAAAAATCTTGTGGTCTTTTAGAAAAACACAGGGAACATCCTTCAGACGAATTTCAATTTCCTTGTAAACTTCACCGCGGGTGTCGCATTCTATGGACGCCGATAAAAATTCGTAAATAGGTTTGGTAATCTTTTTATCCAAGTGATCAGCATCGACCAATTCAGCACTGTACGCTGCCGCTACATTTTTTAGATGCTCCAGAACGTCGATATATGAAGGTTTGGAACAAGTATTATGAAGGTTTGCAATTTTGTCTGGTTGTGCCCAAATTGGAAGGATTGGAGCTGTTGTCCAGATTAAAAATCTAGACGACCAACAGACGGCATTGCTGAATTGTGTAAAAGGCGGATAGCCGTTCTTTGTGGACTTGTACTGCTCGTGTATTAAAGACAGTTTTTCCTCCACTTTTTCGGAGGCAATGAACTTTATCTGCGATACTTTGGTTAGAAAATTTTTGGATAGAAACCTTTTATCAGGTAATAATGTCTTTGAAAATAGACATTTTACTAGACTTTTAGATTGCACACGATTTTGTCCATTACTTGGAAAATATTCACCGTTTTCTGCAACCTTTGTGCAGAATTCCAGGAATAATGCAGGCGTGATATCGACTTGCAATCCAATTGCTTCAAGAAGGAGAAGCCAACCTTCATTTCCGAATGGCGAGGGAGGAAATTTGTCCCGCTCGTCATCAAACATCGCTTGAAATACTTTGTTCTTTGGATTGAAAAATTCGCGTGCAAAATGAAGTTGGCCGTGCTCATCGGGTATGCAGGGAGTTCCTTTCATACATTCCAAAAATTCTCTTGATTTAGTTGAACCGCCTTGGGGAAAATTCGGGTAGATCTCATCGTGAATAAATCTTAAATGCTGCATTTGGTTTTCACGAGTAAACATGGTAAAATTCTTAAAGACATGCTTAACGTAGAATTGCGTGACGTCCTCATCCACGATAACGCCAAGGTCTTTGTAAAGGTCTTCAAGTGCAGGCAAGGCATCGGAGTTTAGGAAAAGGCAACCAGTTCTCATTTGTAGTTCATCTAGTTGTTGTGTAGGAACGTCGAAAGAAATGAAATCACGCGAAGAATACTGACCAACCAAACTCACAAACTGTCCCTCAAATGTCTTGTGAATAGGAAGATCTTTTATTATTTGCCTGTGCTTTTCTAATAGTCCCGTTTCTCTGAAATTATTTTGAAGGAACAGAAGAAATTCGCGAATGCTTTCCGCATCTACTTTCGAAAGATCCAGGTTGTTTTTTCTTAACATATAATGCAAGACCATCAAAATCTCTGCAGCATCATGTGGGTGGCCTACAAAATGATCAGTGACGGCTCTTTTTCTTTCAAGATGTCCTCTTTCAGTGCTTGATACGCTATTTTTGCCTCCAGGAATAGTAGCGTCCGCACTAGGTTGGCTGTCTTTGAAAGTGATTTTCTTGTTTAATACTGGACAGTTTAATTTCAGCAAGAATTCACGGGCTTTCCGCTGATCTGGAGACTCGTTTCCGGCAATGGTCATATCCAAAACAGATTTTCCATCTTTAATTGCCACAAGTCTACCACAAGTTGTTGGGATAACTGGCCATTTGAGAAGACAATTTAACATCCACCGATTTTTAACAAATTCGTGTTTTACATAATCCTCCAAGAAACCCCAAAAACGTTCTAACCACTGCTCAGATAGAATCCCCTCGGTTGGAAGTTTCCATGTCTCTTCATCGTTGATAGCTTTCAACACGGATTTCGTGAACACATGCGGCAGTAATTCAGCGAGATCGTAAACTGTAAAATTGCGGACAACACGTTTTTTTGATTGTGTAGCGCTCCGAGGGATATGATGGACAATTTCTGAATGAAGGAACAACTGCATCTGCGTTGGAAAAAGATCTCCGAATGTAGAACGAAATACGGGCTGACTCGGTTGATAAACTCGTAGGCAGCCATCTTGCGTAAGAAGCAAGGGCAAGCCAGATAATTTTTTACCAAAATCGTCTTCATCAGAGCAGTATCCTATCAGCGCAGACAATTCTGGAATACTCTTGACCACGGTGGCTTCTAGCCTTTTTGGAAGGTTGCCAATCGCGCAATTGGAAACTTTCGATTTGAACTCTTTCAAGAAAAGAATGACGCTGCAAGGACTAACGTAATTCGAAGTAATACGAGCTGATCTAAAACCATGGTATATTCGGTATGGAGCGTGCAACAAAACAGGCAGCCCGATTCGTATTAACAGGTGCGAAAAGTTCTCCTCTAATTCAGACGTTGCGAAGTATCCTTCGTAAGCTGAGAGCCATCCTGCTCGCGAAAAATTTTTGGAGGTGCATGATTCGGAAGAGTCAGCTTTCTCCGACATCTCTTCACCAAGAAAAAAGGCCGCATCGTTTTTTTCAGACTCAGTTGGGACAAGCAACGGCAAAACCTTGGCTCTTGTGCGTCCAAGATAACGATACAATTCAGTGCTGAGGGTTTTCCAGGAGGAAGTACTCGAGACATTCGGAAACAAACCGTGGTAAAGCGAAAGTTTATCGTCATCCTCGTCATTGCAGAAGTGGCTGCGAGCTTCCATGATCAATGCCGCGTAGGTAGGTGGTAATACACAGCTAAGCATGAATCGGTTCCACTTTGACTTTTCTTCCTCGCCATCTGTGTCGGTCCACAGTCGTCGACGGGCTCCATCTACGGTAAAATGACCATTGATGTGAACTGGTAGGCCAGTGCACTTCTCCGGAAGAGGCAGGAAACAAAACACCAAGCCACGAAACGCAGAGTGCTTCTTGGAGGACGATGAACGCGTCCACAGTCGAGCTGCCACGCCACCTCGTGGAAGAAGACCAAGTTTGCGACCATCCGGAATTGGACTCATTCTATTTGCAGTCGAGGTTGAAGTAATTGATCCAATACCCTTCTGTATCAACCATTCCTCGACTTCTTCGTTGCCCTCCTTGATGGACATTTTGTAGCTGACTCCATCCCATCCAATTTCCGCTGTAGGTGTATCGCTGTTGTCCAAAATTTTCCGTGCCAACTCACGACAGCTCTCCTCCGCTTCTGGAGATAGTGCGGACTCGACGCGATATATCTCTTCAATTTCGTTTTTGGAATTAATTTTCGAGAGAGATATCTTCCTAACATGATTTAGAAATAACAGTGATATTCGGGCTTCTCTTTTGAAAGAATATATAAGTTTCTTCAGATCAGGGCAAAATTTGGATATTTTAGATTCATTCTGTTTTCGTCTAAGCGGAAAACGGAACATTGTCGAGCCCTTAAGGTCGAAATGGTCACCAAGATATCCCTTAATTGTGTCTGAGAAATCCTTGCGTTGGTCGGTGTTAAGCGTAAACAGTTTGCCAGGATCTTCATCAAGAACGTAACGGCGACATGGATCAAGAATAACTAGGGTGTCATCATTTGACAAAAAACTTGGACAATCCGTGAGGTTATAAACGGAGTTGAATCCAATCCCATATCTGCCTGTCATTTCCGGGCTACCTCGTTTACTTCCAATACCAAGATTCTTAATTCCTTCGAGGTCTGTCTTCGAGAATGGTCTATCGTTGTACACGCAAAGTGCTGGTCCCTGTATTTCTGGGGTTGTTCCGTCTTCTGTCGCAACTTTTTTACATCGCAGAAATCGGGTATCGTGTATGAAGTGTATTTCCGAGGCTTGAGCATCGTCGGCATTTTGTACTAGTTCCTTGAGTATTCCGTCAACAGGATATCCTTCCAGAATTCCTTTTAGTCGGTCAGTTAATTCCTCGTGTTGTCCAAACGCTTCTCCATAGCCAATACGACGCGAAAATTTCTCCAATATGAGATTCTTTAACGGCTTCGCTCCGAGTGCTTGTGCTATTTGCGGTGGTATTTTCTCGTGGACTTTCAGATTATCATCTGGATCTTTGAGCCATAAACTTAAATTTACTACGACATTTTGACTTGGACGTAAAATACTGTCGGTGTCAGGTATTGGGATCTTGCCAATGTGATTCTTTGCGGCGGGATTTTCAACATTTATTTGATTGATGAAAAATATTGCCGTATTTAATTCATCTTCTGTGAGGGAATCTTCTTTCTTCGCGCTTTTTTGATCATAAAGAGCATTGATGTAGTCTTCAACTTCAAAGCTGTTTTTGATTTGCATCGCGTGAAAAAGATTTCGGTAGTCTCTTATGTAGAGGGATGGGAGGGTAAAGAGAAATGGAGCACCGTTTCCGCTGCACGTATAAGCCACCTTTCTGCTTCGCACAAATGTTCCTTGAAGAAATAACCATTCTCTCTCGTCGAGGTCGTTCAAAAAACTTTGATCTCCTGTGGTCTCATGCGCTCTTTTATCAAAAAATTTGTAAATATCCTGACAGATCGACTCCATCGCGAACCTTTCTCCCATGTTTCCTTTTTTTTCTGCAGACAGCTTGCCCCAATATTCGATGGCTTCGTCTAACTGTTTAATAACTAACCTGTCTTCAGGCAAACGACTTGCGAATCCTAAAATTATTTCTACTTTCTCATGGAGCTGTCCGCAACCGGTTTTGTCGGACGTGTCTACGATTAAGCATCCTGAACCGCAAATACTTGCTTCTCTTGGCAGAAAACCGTTTTTTGGTGCGCAAAAACGGCCAACATGAATCTTTGTTCCTTCCCATGATAAACGGTACTCACTTAAGGGGTTTTTTAACACTGGCAAGAACTTTACCCCCTGAAGACGAATGGAATGGTGTTCGGAGTTTGGTAGTTGATCTGCTCGCTTGTTAAGATATTCGATCAATTTTCGTGAACGCTCGGATTTTGCTCGGCTACAATTTGCGATCGACTGAGCTCTATCACAGATTTCATTCCAGTCAAGGTCATTGACCATACCAAGCTTTTCTAGGACATGCAATCTGTTTGCATCACACAGAATATTACCAACAGGAAAGCGGTGATCTTGGTCAGAAAACAACTCAGCTGCTGGACCGAACGGGTTTACAAGTTCACAAGGTTTTGCTAAGATCTTCTCATCGTGCGAGACGGCGATACAAGGATTTTCTTTGAAGAGATCACTTTCTTCAGTTGCTGAAAGAGAAGATTCTTTGAAAATACGATCTAAACCGAAGCAAACAATAGCATCTCGCTGAAACGGGGAGAGGATTTTGATGTTCGGGAAAAAATACCGTTCCATAAATTTTGGAAATGTCAAAGTGCGTCTATGAAGGATCTGCCGCCATCCATCAAACTTCGTCAAGGTTTGTAAAATGTTATTGGGAAGATTAAAAACATGTATTCCCACCGTTCGCAATACTTTCACTGCTGTCTCGTTAATATAGGCAAAATCATCGTTTAGTAAGAAACCGTCGTTTATACTCATCCATTTTTCATCGCTGTAAAATAACTTGGTTTTTCGATCGAACAAGACACTGCAGATTTTCTGAACTAGCTTCTCCCAAGATTTCATATCAACGGTGTCACTGCTTGGCCACAGACTGTAAAATTTGTAATCCTTTATCTTACCGATCAAATCTTTCAAGTTTTCAAGAAGCATGACATAAGCTCTGGCTAATGCGTCCTCCATCAGCGCTTCGTTCCAATTCACCTCGACTGGTTGGTTTCCTGTAGTCGATCGTTTCCAAATTTCAACGCGATTAGACATGATTGCAAAATACCCGTTGACATGGACAGGAAGCCCAGTGGAAATAGACAAAGGAAGAAAACAGAAAAGTTCCCCAGAAAGATCAGAGTTGGAATTCTGTTTGGAGGCTTTTTTCTGAACGACAAACGCTGCCCCACCACAGGGCAAGAAGCCACGAGCACGACCTTCTGGTGAGCGAGCAATTTTGAGAGAAGCGTCAGTCCCACTTGCTGAAACTACCAACCAAGTTTCGTCACTTCTGTATCGACCGTCACATCCACTCAATTCTGACTCTTCCTTTCTGGTCTCAATGTTAACAAGCTCACACCTGGATGGGAATTCCTTGCAAATGTTTTCAGAATCACGGTTTTGTTTCCACCATTTGGAACACTGCTTTATAAACGGTTCTGTGCTGTTCGTCACCTCTTGCCGGAAGACTTGAACGCTTGGTTTCTTCACAGACAGCACCAAACGCATTTCGTCTGGTTGACTTGATTTATCCAATTCAAAGACGTCTACTTCTTTCACATGTTGGGAGAAGATTAAAAGATTCGAAGCGCATTCACAAATACTGCGAACAATGGCTTGAATCTTGTCTCGACCATATGGGGATTTGATAATATCGCTGGTTCTTGCTTGGGCGGCCGTGCGGAAAGGAAATCGGAATAATGTTCCATTATAGTGGAATGCTTCACGTGTTTCCGTTGTGTTGCAACCAAAGACGCCATTGTATGGTTGAAACTGATCCTGGTAACGTGTTAGCGACTGTGGTTGCTTGGCAAGATTGATGCGAATTCCAGGACGGGATCTGTCCTTAATGTGACGTTCTTGTAAATGGTGAGTGTTCGGATCAAAGACCACCAAGAGCTCTTGGCTGATGAAACTTGGGACGTCTGTGAGGTGATAGACGGCGTTGAAACCAAGACCAAACCGACCAATCTTTGAAATATCTTCAACTTTCGTTTCTCCTGCAAGCTTGTTGATGTTTTCAAAATCATCGTCAGTGAACACAGCATCGTTGTAAGCCCACAATGCTGGTCCTTGGCATTCGGCCATGCCAGGGGAAAAAAGACTCTCCGTTCTTCCGTGTCTCCAGTCCACCAAAAACTTGACTTTAGTAGCTCCAGCATCGTCTGCATTTTGAATCAATTCTTTGAAAATACCGACGCCATCTTTGTATTCACGGAGTATATTACGCAGACGAGTCGTAAGAGGTTCGTACTGCCCTGTTTGTTCGAAAAGATCTGTGGGAGAAAAATACTTGTGTGCAACCACAGTTTATAACATAAACATACGCATATTCAGGTAATGTATTATGAAAACTTTATTTACCTTGCTCACCAATCTAAACTATACCCATTACCAAACACAAAGCGCTAAAGCACAGATTGCACAAAATGTTGTTTGCTAATATGCTGATGAAAACGGCTTTTCTAACAGACGCTCTGTTCCCAGTGGCATACGAGACACGATAATTCGGGGGGGGGCACATATTCATATATTTATGTTAACAAACCTGTAAAGACAATGAATTTGAAAAGAAATTAATCCTGCACTGCGCCATGTCCCTGGGAATTTGGTGATTTTAGGTCGCCATTACAAACGTAGCTATGATACATAATGTACCCTTTTCGGGCGTCAAGAATATTTGATCATAGTCAGATACGCATATCCAAGATTTGCGCTTTAATTTTGCAGTAAAATTGTATTATTATATCAATCACCCTACCTTCCTCGAACTGCTCAGACATGATCCACCACTAGTAATGATATGACCGCATTGTTCACGGAAAGAGACGAGTGCTGAAACTTGAAAAAAGCATACACCTAAAATTAACATCAACAGCAATATTTTTAATTGAATATTCAGATATAGACAGTAGAACTTCGCCAATATCAAGGACCGACACAACTATACGTTGCACATACATAAAATTATTAACCACAGGTATATTTAAGGGTTAGAGACTGTTGTGAGTGTTTTATTCACAAATAAACGCACGCGCTGACCATACAATGAACGAGAAATTTCATTGTATGGTTTGCAAGTCAACACAAAGTCTCGAACACTTTTAATATACAATCTGAGTTCATTGATTGCTGCATTGAAGATCCAAGCTTCGTTGCAAGCTGTCATTTTTGAATAAACGATGATTTTCATGGGTTATTGCGAATAAATTATAATTCTCATGATCTGTCGCCAGGCAACAAGAAACCACGTGATTGATTTTGACCAATCGCGTGAGTAGATTTAGGCCAATGCACGAAGATTGTATATTAAAAGGTGACAAGCAACGTAGCTGAGCTGGTTAATCATCCAGCCGTGTATGCGGCGAATAGGATAATTGTTTGATAATATAGGTAGAACTTTATAGGAATGAAAATATGCAAACTTTTATTACATCTTCGACGAAAATTCCGACTGTATTATAGGCTATTTTCGATACTTAACGTATATGAGCTGGTATACACTACCTCAGCTAAACAGATTGCGCGCTTATACGGTGGGCTATATTATTACCATATCATGATAGGTAATAGATACTGATTATATTAGAACTAAATATTGCAACTTCCAAACCATATTTTCATACTCAGGAGCTTAATTTTGGCGCACAGAAACATACACAGTTCTGTTTCGTACAGAAAAACCTAAACGTCTTCTTCTAGAGAACAGCTACTATTTTCCATTTAATTAATGTGCTCGAGCCAAGTTGAAATAGTTATTTTCTATATCGATTGATATGTTGGAACAAATACCGTCCATACGCAATGGCCTTCGAACTACCCGACTCTGAACCATTATTGCTGGCGATTATGTAACTATAGGCTGGCTTGTTTTACTGTAAATACGGTCGACGCATCAATAACTTTGACAGACATGTGAGTATGAATCGCGTCTGCGTTGCGCGTTATAGCCAAGATTCTCGACGCATATTGTAGTATAAATTGCACAAACGATTTCTTTTCAGATATATATTCGTGACTATTGTATGTTGCATTAGTATGTTATGGGATTAGTTATATTCATACATTAGTATATTGTACAAATGATTAGTTCATAATATATAATTTGAACCGATCGAGGAAATTTGATTCCCATTTCATTCTTTGATAAAGGCAGCAGTATGTTGCGTTGAATTTACCTTTGTGTAGGTCTTCGGTATATAACACGTTTTGTTCGCTTCGGCTAACCAGATAATCTCGATTGTTCAATCGTTAGTCAAATACAGCTCAATTACAACGACTTTGGCCGTCAAGTCATCATTTAGTCATGTAATTTGTAGTACATTGACTCATTTACATCGCCTAAAACTGGGTGCGGTTTTGAGCTTCCGGTATTTTTAAATAAATGTATTAAAATACATTCACCTGCGTTACCCAAGGTCACAGAGCTAAGCTGTCTGGGTTTTCTGAGACTAAGGAATTGTGTGATATAAGTGTTAACTCCGAGCATAAAAGATATATTGCTGCTTTTAATGTAAGTTCTTTTAAGGGATGTAAGATGAAGAAGGAAATTCACGTGCAGTTCAGATGACTGAAGTTTTGTAAAGGCTAAATTTCCTGAAGTGGTGTGTTGATATTAGTATATGGTAAGTTCCAATATAACCAAGGAGCAGCGTGGCAGCGTAGCATCAACTTAGCATCAAATGTGGTATAACAACTGCCTAGATAGACAAAACACTTCTCGGCGTTTCGACCTGAGGGCCTTCGTCAGGAGAGTAAAATCAATACTAGCGAATAAAGCTTTAGACTTGTGGTATTACCAATATGAAAATGCATATTTGCTCTTAAGTGCAAATTTGATATACGATATACTTAATAATTTAGGCTCGATTTACGCTGTCAACTTAATCGCTGTGGATTTTAACATTTACTGTCATTTTCCTTATGAAAGCAAAGTATGTAAGCGTTATCTCTTTGCGAATTTGTTGAAAATGTCTAAGGGAGCTGAAACATTGATTAGTGCTGAGCTTTTTATTACCCTGATATTTGTTACTTGATCTTAAAAAGTACAAGGGATTGACTATGTAAATTTCAGACGGTCTATAAATATACAAATAGTTGCCTTTTCTTTTAGATCTACCTGCGTAATAATGTAGCTTCAACTACAGCTTTACCCAGCTATAAATCGGGGGAATCCGGGGGAATGCGAGTTCAGCGTTTGATATTTGATCACCTCAGACACGACAAGCCGGAAACATGGCCATAGAACGAACACTGTTTTTGTCGAGCATGTATCACGAAGCATCTTGAAAATTATCAAAATTTGCTTTCTTGTAACCAAGAGCTAACCGTTGAGTCACTCGCAGACGCACCGCGTATTGTAAAAAATCTGCTGTCGGAAAAGCGAATTAAATGTGATTATTAGGGCTCCATGATGCAGGAAATTGGAACTAGTTTGGGTGAAATACTGAATTACTTGTTCGAAAATATGAATAACTTTAAAGGAGTCGTGGATAAGTATATGCAAATATTATAACACTCATTATGCAAAGGTCGGGACCCGAGACAAATATATTTTATATGTTCTGTGTATGCTATATGATGTTGCGTATATATCAGATCACATAATTCGACAAAGATAGTGTTATGTAAGCATTATAGTAAAGCATAAAGGACATAATTACTACTTTGCTGTTTTTAATTGTTGAGATTTGTGAAGGTTTTAAAATTACTCGATGTGTTTGTTGCTATTGATGAAGATATTGAGTATCAATCAGGAGAGGTAAGTCCATTCATTTTAACACTTATTCGTAATGACACATGCCAGGGCGACAAAACTGCGAGACGCGAGGAGATTTCCTTTAAATTTAATTCTAAAATGACAAATTTACAAAGATATAGCATGCACATTCCAATCATATTTTACAATAACAAAGATAATGTAATAATTAAATGTTCGTTAAAATCTACTTTAAAGCTAACTAAATTCACCACATAACACTAAAACTGTTCACGGAACTATAAGACTATAAAATAGTACCTGAAGGGTGGATCTCCTAACGCTCGAACTTTCTAAAACGATCGCTTCATTTGCTTGCTTTAAGGTTCGACTTTACTTCGCCTGTTTGCTCAACTAATAATCTAATCAATTACATATCATGCAGCGATGATGTAGTCTGTAATTGCTAATTAACGCAACTTATATAATAGATAGAATGCCAACTGTCCAAAACACTTATATTATTGTTGCTGCCCGATTTTGAATGCCAATACAGCCTATGTTATTGAACAAGACACCCTAATTAATTCTATCAAGATTGCATGGCTGTGATCACAGCTGGAATTTTTCATGTATATATGTGTAAATGGTATTTGAAGTATTTGCTAGAAATCGGTTGGAAGAAACTATACAGTATTCACTACACTGTAATATACTGTATATACTTAGCATGCAGTTAGTAGGAACTAACTCTCCTGACGAAGGCCCCCAGGTCGAAGCGTCTGGAAGTGTTTTGTCTATTTTAGGCAGTTGCTATACCACATTTGATGCTAAGTTGTTTGAAAACGCTGCTTCCTGGTTATATTGGAACGTATATACTGTATATACGTTTCAAAATAACCAAGGAGCAGCGTGACAGGCTGCTCCTCAATCAAATATGTAAACCTTCGTAGGAGTTAACCATTGTCATTGAACTGAAAGCAAGTGGAACGTTTTGAAACCAAATTTTACCTCTAGACACGCGTGTTTTACCTCCAGAAACGCGTGTACATGTTGCGTGGCATTCTCGCAAAGCCCTTGAAGGAGGAATCATGCAGGGTTTGACGGCGAAGTTATGATTCGTATGGGCAAATAGTTCGACTTTTTATCGACTTCAGGCTTTTTTGTACCATATTTGATGCAACTGTCTTATACATAAATCCTCCTCCCTAAACAATACCTAATACACGTATATGTTGGATACATGCACATGATACACAACTGTTTGTCGTTACAAACCTTTACTTTCCCTTTTAGAGCTGAATGCCACGAAGTGCAGGTCTTCAGGTGCTCACTCTTATAAGGAGTGCAGTTTAATATTCCACTTAGACACAACAGACAAAGCAATATGGCCGAAAAGCAAAGCCCAGTCCTCGAGTTTGGCTACCCCGACGAACGATTCGAATCCGTTGTAAGCGAGAATCTATACTGTGCTATTTGTTCGTGCGTGTTGAAGAATCCATTGATGTGTAAAAACGAACACTGTTTTTGTCGAGCATGTATCACGATGCATCTTGAAAATTATCAAAATTGTCCTACATGCAAACACGATCTGAGTGTGGATTCCCTGATGAAAGCACCGCGTATTTTGAGAAATCTGCTGTCGGAAAAGCGAATTAAGTGTGATTATTACGAGCGCGGTTGTGAAGAAATCATTGAGCTTGGAAACCTGGCAAGTCATGTCGCTGTGTGTGGCAAAGCTCCAGTTGTGTGCTCGAATGAAGAATGTTCAAGAGAGATCAACAGAGAGGATCAAACACGACACGAGAGCGAGGAATGCAGATTTTGGAAAATTGGATGTCGAAATTTTGAAGAGATGGGCTCTATGATCCAGGAAATTGGGACTGGCTTGGGTGGCCTGTGCGAGCAAGTCACAAACTTGAGCAGCAGCGTCAATGAACAGATCAGTGAAGTAAAAACTGGTTTGACAGCTGTAGAAAACAGATTTGATGTGATGGAAAGCAGATTCGAAGTGTGGGGGAAAAAGTTTGAAAAAATCGAAAAACAGCTCTTTTTCCAAGAAAATCAAACATCTAGAGATCAGCGGCATGAAGTCGTGGACGATTTGCGTGTAAAAAGTGATCAGGCGACTGCAGTAGATCCATCAAACGATATCATTGACGAAGGGAATCCTGTAGAACATGCATACGTTGTGGCAGGTGGATACGGAAAGGACACGCAGGTTTTAAATTCTTCCGAGGTTTTTGATAAAAGCTCAAATTCATGGAGGCCGTTGCCACCAATGGAAAGGTGTCGTGCTAATGCAAGTTCGGTTTGTTACAATGGCCATGTCAACGTTGCTGGCGGTGTCTCGGAGGACAAGCGCGTTCTGAGCAGCGTTGAGCAGTTTAGTCGTTTTTGGTCCAACTTTCCAGTTAATTTGCCCAAATTATTGAAAGGACACCGTACTGTTGGAAGTGGCGATAAAATGTTTGTTGTTGGCGGTTACGACCAAGAGAAAAAGGGTTACTCTAATATGATATACGAAATCCAACTACGCCTCCCTTTTAATACAAAGGTTTTGGCCAGACTTCCTTTTTCAACACCTGTCCGTGGCTGTGGTGTAGTAAAAACGAATGACAAAATTCTGATATTTGGAGGTAGTGCGAGAGATACAAATCCTGCTACGGCGATTGTCACAATGTACGATTTAACTAAGAACGAGTTCAAGGAACTTGCACCATTGCCATACAGTGTGTGCAACATGGCAACAGCCAAATATGAAGAAAACGTGGTTCTTGCTGGTGGTTCTGACAATTATTTACTTGGAGACGTAAAGAATACAGTCATCAGTTATAATATTGAGACACAAAAGAGTGTCATGCTCCCACCAATGAAATGCAGTCGCTCTGAATGTTGTGCAGTCGTTGATGGAGACTCTTTGGTGGTGATGGGAGGAGAAAATCGGCGTTTCAAATGCCTGAACTCAGTAGAAGAATTCAACTTTAGGACATCGAAATGGACAGGTCTTCCTTCAATGAAAACAGAAAGGAAGGCTTTCGTTGCGGAGGTTATTTAGAATCAGTTAATCACGACAATCTTTGAAGTCCTATCTGCATGTAATCTTAAATATTGGGGGTTCTCAATGAATTCTGACCACGCCGTTAGACTGAACTTGTTCTCCTTATTTTCGTAACAGAATAATTTATCAAAAGCGACGGGACCTTTTGTCTGCTTTGGCAAGATGACACCTAAATTTACTAAGATATTGTTAAATTTGCACCTGGCTTCTTTTGGAATAAAACAAGATTATAAAAATATTAAAAATCGTTGTTTCAAACACGTTTAGGCGACTCTATTGATCATTAAAATACTGTTCAGTATTTTGTTTAATATAGTCATAGATGTTAATTTTTCGTGCTGTGTTAACGATTAATATTTAAAATATAATAATCATGGAACCTTATGAAATTATATACTATATCATATGCATGACATGCAACAAAAAGCGGCAAAGATAAATGGAAACTGCTGAGAGCTATCAATCGTTTTTAATTTTCATCACACGTGACAGTTTAGAGTCTTCGAATTCCTGGAATTAATTCAGCCCTGTACTTCCAAGTAAACCGGAAGTGGTTAATCCAATTTGCTTTTAATTCGAAAGCGATCCAGAACTGTATGTCGACAAGATATAAGTAGGCATCGATAAGCGTCGTGTAAAACGAACACGTTAATACTCAATTTTCAGCTTGCGCTTAATTGGCTAAAGTCTAGACGAGAATATTTTGCATTACATAAGGTAAGTGAAAGAATATGGATTTTTAATATTAGAACTGATGCGTGCTCGCCTGCTTAGACACGTACCTGCATAATATAACTTCAACACGAAAACTAAGTGAAGTAATTGTCAGTATTAAGGTTAGCTGGATCTTTTTGTACGTGTGTGAATATAGCTATAAGGACTTCGGTGATCATGTGTTTTAGTAAAGTTAGGTTTTAAATGTATCTGTTTCTGTGGGATATAGAGCTGTGGGAAACATTATAAACAACAATAAAACATAAATAAATTATAAACAGCAGCTGATGTGAAAACGTTGGCCATGGCAACTGACTGGCGTATGACAGTTTGACATTCGTAACAATTTCACATTTCGAGACACAAAACGATATTAGTTCTTTGTCTGCAAAACGCTCAAAAGCCGCGGAGGTTCAGTAATTTTTCTCAACAATTCGACACATTGCTATTCACTTCCTGGTGAGGTGTATAATTTGTTAAGTCTAGTTAATTTGTCTAGGCATATTTTAACACCAGGAAGTAAAGGTAAGTATTCAAATTTATACTCAATTCATACAGATAGCTGTTTTGCCTGCATGCTTTGCTACATATACAGGCTGTTCACACAAAACCATTTGAGAGCGCGTAACCAACGGTGCAAATCTGCCACGAAGTCACAAACAGTTATAAACATGTTTCACATCGTTTCTTTTATAATTTGTTAATACACGTCTGTGCACTGGCACTGTTTTGGAAACAAAGGACTTGTTTTGTTAGCAGGAAACTTGAAGCAAGCGTGTGGTTTTTTTAAGCGTTTTCTGACGGCAAAATATTAGCGTTTATACTGGTTATACAAGTCGATTTTACTGACAAAGCAACGAAAGGCATATAGTCCTTACTCTGCCTATTCTCAGTTTAAAAACAATGTTATAATTTATATTGTCATATTGTGTATGCTCAAGGATTAAATTAAATATATGGTAATAAAGATAGGGGGACCCAAGTAGCACTTGGCTTTAACTTCAAGGGTCATGAATTACCTGAGTTTTTTTCATGTGTTGATATATTTTGTAAATCAGTAGTCTCTGCCTTAGTTGTATCGTGCTGTGAGTACATGGTCGGCATTTTATATTTTTGCGTTTACTGCAAATTATAATTTTGTGCACCACTTGTGGCCCAAAACCTAATTAGATTTACCTTCACGCAGTTACCTTAATAAAATATAAGTAATAAGCGAAAATAATACAATAGTGACGATTGTATATAATCGCTTATAAACAAATCTTAATCTTAACTATAAGTAGCAATGAGCCTATATACCGGTCATTATGCTAAGGCGTTTGATTCACTTCCACACATGCATCGGTTTGTCAATTTTTTTACAAGATTTCTGATAGTCATGCCTTGTCAAATAACCCTTATTGGAGGTTACTCTTGAATATCCGTCTCGCCGCTAGTTTCGCCATTCTACTGAGTACTGAGGTTGCGTTGCAACTTCAGCCAAACAATTAATATATACAAATAATTATAGATGATGGACTGAAAGCTGCTAGTTTCTTTGTGGTTGTTCGTATACCAGCTTCGAGAGATGTCTGACGACGGTATGTAATAGAAAAAGTATGAATAAGTTAAAATTCCAATGCCAACATAGTCTCACGGGTGTGTTCATTACTGCTCTGACTCTCAGAAATAAAAAGTAAGAGCAATCGTGTAGAATCGTGTTACATTGTTTTGTCATAGCTTTAACAATGTTTTGAACATCAGAGATACCTCATACAGTAAATAGGGTAGACTATGTTGTTCTCTTTTAATGAACTTAAATTGAGTTGACAATTTTTCACAACTCGCATAGGAGATATACAGGGTGTCTCAAAAAAAACGCCACTTAAATATGCAAGACATTAATACAGCTCTAAAGCACAATAGATAAGCACCTCTGGGAATTGAAAATGGCTCTTAACCCTTCATTTAAAATGCTAAAAGTCATTTTAGCTGAACTGTGGTGCAAACCCGAACAATATTAATATTCTTAAGTGTTGCGTTTTTTGAGACACACTGTATATAGAGATTGGGTGTAAATATATAGTGGAGGGGTTATATAATTAAAGTTGTTATTTATTATATCTACTTTGCTTTAAGTGATGACATGTCTGTTACATACTATTACTGAAAAGTACAGACTTAAACTACTTAAAGTCATATTTTTCCATATGAAATTTATGGTCTCATTTTGTTAACTCGGTATTATGAATTTATCTTGTTTATGATGGATAGAATTACTTTTCTCGCGACAGATCTTTTTGAACAGACAGGGCAGTACGAACCCGTCACAACTCGCATTCGTAATATACTCCGTGAGTACAGGATGGGCGTCGGTATTTTCAAAGAATTGATTCAAAATGCAGACGACGCTGGAGCTACAAAAGTCAAATTTTTGGTGGACTGGAGACGAGGAAGAACGAGGAGTCTTTTCTCCCCTGGCATGGCCGAATGTCAAGGACCAGCATTGTGGGCCTACAACGAGCTGTGTTCACTGACGATGATTTTGAAACATCACAAGCTTGCAGGAGAAACGAAAGTTGAAGATATTTCAAAGATTGGTAGGTTTGGTCTTGGTTTCAACGCCGTCTATCACCTCACAGACGTCCCAAGTTTCATCAGCCGAGAAACTTGGTGGTATTTGATCCGAACACTCACCATTTACAACATCACATTAGGGACAGATCCCGTCCTGGAATTCGTATCAATCTTGCCAAGCAACCGCAGTCGCTAACACGTTTCCAGGATCAGTTTCAACCAACAATGGCGTCTTTGGTTGCAACACGCAACACGTGAAGCATTCCACTACGACGGAACATTATTCCGATCCCTTCCGCACGGCCGCCCAGGCAAGAACTAGTGATATAATCAAAACCTCATATGGTCGAGACAAGATTCAAGCCATTGTTTGTAGCATCTGCGAATGCGCTTCGAATCTGTTGATCTTTTCCCAACATGTAAAAGAGGTAGAAATCTTTGAATTAGATGGATTGGACGAACCAGACGAAATGCGATTGGTGTTGTCTGTAAATAAACCAACTTCGCGACCATTCAAACGACAAGGGGTAAACAACACGGAACCTTTTATAAAGCAGTGCTCGAGATGGTGGAAACAATACCGTGAACCTCAAATGCGTCGCACTGAATTTCCATCCGGTTGTGAGCTTGTTAACATAGAAACGACAAAAGAGCAATCTGAATTAAGTGGATGTGACCGTCGATCCAGCAGTAATCAAATGTGGCTTGTAGTATCAGCCAGTGGGACCAACACTTCGCTTGAAATCGCTCGTTCACCGGAAGGTCGAGCTCGTGGCTTCTTGCCCTGTGGTGGGGCAGCGTTTGTCATTCAGAAAGCATCCGAGGAAGGCTGGAAATCTGGCGTTGATCTAGATAATTTGGGGGAATTGTTTTGTTTCCTCCCGTTGTCTATTCCTACTGGGCTTCCTGTGCATGTTAACGGGTACTTCGCAATCATGGCTAATCGCGTTGAGATTTGGAAGCGAACGAGTTTGCGAGAACAACCTATCAAAGTGTTATGGAACGAAGCACTGATGGAAGACGCGTTAGCCAGAGCTTATATCATGCTTCTTGAAAACATGAAAGATTTAATCCGTCATTTTCAGGAATACAAATTTCACAGTCTGTGGCCAAGAGGTGACACCGTGGATATGAAGTCTTGGGAAAAATTGGTTCAGAAAATTTGCAGTGTCTTGTTGGATCCCACAACCAAGTTATTTTACAGCGATGGAAATTGGATGAGCATCAACGGCGCTGTCCTACTGAGCGATGATTTTTCCGAGATCTACGACACAACAGTAGAAATATTGAGGTCCCTGGGGATTCACGTTGTAAGTCTTCCTCGCGAAATATATAATACCCTGGCAAAGTTTGATCAACGTGGCATTCTTCAACGACGCACTTTGTCCTTTACAGAGTTTATGAAGCAGCACTTTTTTCCAAAGATCAAAACTCTTCCTCCAGTTCAGCGAGATAAAATCGTGTGCTTTGGTTTGGATCGAATCTTGAGACCTAGTAGATCACTTCACTCCAATCTTGGCCAAGAGGTCAGTGCTTTCAAACAAAATGCCTGTATTTCAGTTTCAGGATGTGGGAAAATTCTCGCGAAGCCTTCTGCACTTATCCACCCGTTCAGTTCTGTGGCAAAGTTGTTTTCCGAACAAGATCATCGTTTTCCAGTTGGAGAACGCCTGCGTGATGAAAACATATTGTATGTCTTGAAAAAGCTTGGTATGGTGGAAGATCTGGATTGGACCGGAATCTTTGAAAGAGCTCAGTCGGTCGCCAAAACTAAAGATCTCGAACGCTGTCGAAAGTTAATCGCGTACATGAACAAGCGAATAGATCAACTGCAGCCACCTGGTCAATATCGCACAGCTTTTCATCCTGTTAGGTTTCTGCCAGTGCTAAAAATCTGTCATGTTTTCCTTTACCTTGGAAAGGATCGTCAGGTCCGGCATTTTGCTCACCAAACGATGCTTTCTTACGAAAAGATGCAAAGCTCGTCGGATCTTCCTGTCTAATCGTTGATACATCGGACGAAACTGGCTGTGGAAAGATGAATGCAGAAGTGAAAACTCTTTTGGGTTTTTCTAGTCGTCGGCCTGAAAATAAGTTGGTCGTTCACCAGCTGGGCGCAGCGTATATGTTTTGGAGCCAGTTATCTGATGAAAGAAACCAAAAAACTGAAGTGAAGTCTGCCATTGAATCCATCTGCCAAGAAATTTACCAATTTTTTAATGATAGAATCGTAGAGAAGGCAAAAGTTGAAATATCCCTGAACAAGCTAAAAAAACAACCTTGGCTGTTTCTTGAAGGCAAATTTGTGCATAGCGAAAAAGTAGCCTATGTGTCCATGGGAAACGGAGCTCCATTTCTTCTGACCCTACCAGACAGTTACAAAAGGAATTATCCGAAACTGTTTTCGTTGATGGGAATCAAACGTCTCTTTAGTGTTAAAGATTACATCGACGCTCTTTACGAACTAGAAAAAACAAAGCGTGGAAGTGCTCTGAGTGACGATGAATTACAAACTGCAATATTTTTCATCAGTCAAATAGATGTACAAAATCCCGCCGTGAAGGATTACATTGGTGAGATTCCACTTCCGGACACTGATAGCATTCTCCGACGAAGCAAAAATGTCGTGGTCAATCTGAGCTTATGGCTTGAACATCCTGAGAAAATTTTGAAAGTTCACGAGAGGGTGCCACCACACAAGGCACATGATCTTGGTGCCAAATCCTTGAAGAAGGAAATATTGAAGAAGTATTCACGTCACATTGGCTACGGAGAGTCATTCGGCAGACGAAGTTAATTGAACGACTAAAAGGAATTCTGGATGGATATCCGGCTGATGGAATACTAAAGGAACTTGTACAAAACGCTGACGATGCCCAAGCCTCGGAAATACACTTCATACACGATACTCGGAACCTTGGTTATCAAAAAGTGGTGACAGAAGAAGGAATATCTGCGGAGATACAAGGACCAGCACTTTGCGTGTACAATGACAGACCATTCACAGACAAAGACCTGGAGGGAATTAAGAATCTTGGTGTTGGAAGCAAGCGAAATACTCCAGGAATGACAGGAAAATATGGAATTGGTTTCAATTCGGTTTACCATCTTACCGACTGTCCCAGCTTTTTATCCAACGACGACACCCTTGTGTTTCTCGATCCTCATTCCCGATATTTTGGTGATGATGATCGTGGCCAAATATTCGGATCGATGGATGCAGAATTTCGAGATCTCAACTCGGATACACTCGATGGATATCTTCCTGGCAAATTTAACCTTAAAGGCTCTACTATGTTCCGCTTCCCCTTAAGACAAGAAAGGAATGAATCCAAAATATCTAATGTTTTCCCAGATATAGAGAAACTTCTGCAGACCTTTCATACGGAAGCACAAAAGTCGTTATTATTTCTTAATAATATTAAGAAGATAACTCTTTCAAAGATTGATTCAAATGCCAGACTGGAAAAGATATTTTGTGTCGAGTCCGTCATATCTCCGGACGGTGAGGGAAAGCGTCAGCAACTGGCACGAAAAGTTTTCCATCTCAAGAATATTCCTACGGCAGAAATTGAATGGCAAGGAATCAATTACACATTGGAAATAAAAGCAAATAACCAGAAAGTTGAAAAGTGGTTGATACAAAGGTGCGTTGGGTCGACATTTGCTGCGAAAAAGAGAAATGAAATCCCGGATGGTCGTAGATGTCCCGCATGGTGGCGTTGCAGCTCGACTATGGACGCGTTCATCTTTCGTAAATGGAACTGCGTTGCGTGGGATAGCGTACTGTTTCCTACCTCTGCCGCAGAATTACACTGATCTTCCCGTTCACGTCAATAGTAATTTTGAGTTAGATAGCACAAGACGAGGGCTTTGGACCGACACTGATGGAAAAGGAGTGAAGTGTGAATGGAACCACTTCATGAAAAGCTCTGTATTACCACGTGCCTACGCTGATTTGATCATCGAGGCTCGTAATCTGCTCTGTAAAGATGAAAATCAGTTTTCACTCTACCATAGTCTGTTTCCGAGTTTGGGAAAGAATCCTTGGGAAATTCTTACCACTGAATTGTATCGTTATCTTGGACAGACAAGAGCTAAAGTGCTGCCATTGCTGGTTCCAGCTGAGGTTCCAGGAACGAGGCACTGCTAGTCTGGAAGATCCATCTCTTCCTACAAGTCAAATACGGCAACTCCTAAGCAATCCCAACGCGTACGCTTTACTCTCGACGATTGGCTCTCTGCTGAACAAGCCTACTTTAGGAATTCTGATCAAAATACTGATTTTTTGTATCTGTTGATACGAATTGGCCTTCCTGTGTTGTTATACACTCCATCTCGGATATACGATGGTTTTTGCTCAGTTGGTGTGACTTCGCATGAAGTAAGTCCAAACAGCGTAATTGGTTTTTTAAGAGAATTCGATTCGAGCACATCTCCTTGCAAAATTGGCAATCTCCCAAAATTGTTGCAATTCACTGTGGTCGAGAATATTCCGGAATTGAAGGCCCTAGTAGAATATTGTCACGAGGATGAAAATTTCGGCAAACACTTGGAAGGCTTGCCTTTGTTGTTAACACAAGATGGCTACCTGAGAATCTTTGAGTCACGTCATCCGGTGTTCCGTTCTACATTTGGGGACCTCGTTCCAACGCAGTCGCACTTGTTTATTCACTCTGAAATTGTCCATCAAATCCCATCGGACGCTATTAAATCGGAGGAAGATATTGTTCGCAGTTTTACTGAAAAAGATCTCGCACGATTACTGCCGCACGTGTTTTCAGCTAAAGCGTTGAGCGCCATCAATAATCATGCAACATGGAAATTTCCAAAGGCAGGAATTTTTTCAGAAAGGTGGTTTAAGCGACTTTGGGATTTCCTTCAAAATTATACAAAGCCTGAGGCCGATGAAGAATCTGTTTCCTTAGAATGCTTATCAGAATGGCCAATTATTCCGACAACGTGTGGAAAACTTGTGACGATCAAGGAGGCGAAATCTGTTTTGGACATGACAGTTGTTGGAAATGAGTCGGTGCAACAAGAAAACGTTCGCGCATTCTTGGTAAAACTGAAGTGTCCAGTACTAAACAAGAAAATGACATTTCAAATGAACTCTCTGGGACTATTTCGCGCCGTAACTGATCCTTATGTTGCTCACCCTCACAAAGTCGAAGATGTTTTATTCGTTCTTTGTCACATGTTGAAGACAAACGAGCTCGACATCTCAAAGGTTTACGAAGAAGATATTCGTGTCTTTCTTCGGTTTGTACAAGATGACTACGAAAGGTCCGAAAATTTGGTAAGATGCAAGAAAATGGTAAAGGAGTTGCCTTTTCATAAAGCATTGGATGGAAAGTTTGTGACTTTGCTCGGTCGCTATTCTTCTTATGCTCTTGTTCCGCCTGGCGTTCCAACACAACAGCTGAATGAGCTTCAAAACCAAACAGAGTGTCTTTTCCTGAGCTCAGACGCATTACGTACACTCGAGAAACTCTACACTGATCTTGGCGTGAAAGGTGGTCAAAATGTCACACAATTTTACGTGGAGTATGTGTTCAAACATTTCAAGATTTTCACCAAAGAAAGTCAAATGGAACATTTAAAGTACGTAAAGGACAATGTTTTCCCGTCTTTTCCGCAAGGTGGGTCACCTGACAAGATCAAATTCCTAAAGAGCATGAAAGAAACGCCTTGTATTCCCGACAAAAATGACCGCCTGCATTTCGCAACCGAGTTCTTCGACCCGAAGAACAACCTTTTCATGGTTATGTTTGCAGGCGATGGTGAGAAATTTCCTCCCCCGCCATTCAACGATTTAGATTGGTTGAATCTACTTGAAAGTATTGGACTGCAGGTTGAAGTTACACCTCAATTATTCATTGAATTTTGTGGAAGTGTTGCCAGGAATGGTGCAGGTTCTCCTGAAGACCAACTAACCCGTCTGCAGTCTCAATGGTTAGTAAAGTGTCTTTTTTCGGAGATGGTTTTGAGAGATGGGGAATTCTTATCACAAGTGTCGCAGATTAAGTTTGTTGCCTCTGGTGAGGTTGAGGATGAACTATCCTCAATACACGAGCAGTACCAGCGTCAACATAACAAGTGTCCACCTTTCATTGAATTGCGCAATGCAGTGCCATGGGATTTTAGATATATATCCTGGACTACTGTTCCTGTTCTCCCAGACTGGGCAGAACGAAACCATATGGCCGAATTGAAAAACCTTGGTATTGCCTGCTCCGGACCTGCTTACACCATAGTCGTCGATCACCTGCAAAACCTAGTCAAATCGTCTTGCCTGGAGTCAGTTGATAAAGATCTTTTGAAAAAAATAACCGAATCAATTTATCGTTTTCTTTTTGGTGCTTTGCAATGCCCCAGCCGCAACCCTGATGACGGATGCAGTGACATTTGTGTGAATATTGGTACTAAACTGAAAGATAGCTCTTGTATATTTCTACCGGAGGATAACACATTCGTGACAGCAGGACAATTGGTAATGAAACCACCAGAAAAATTTCCATTCAAACCATTTCTCTTCCCTGCACCTACAGAATTTAAAGAGCTGCAGCATTTTTTTATACGACTTGGCGCAACCGAAAAATTAACACCGTTTCAAATTGCTTTCTTTTTGCAATCCATACACGAACAGGTCGGAGAAAAACTTCTATCCACTGACCAAGTGAAGAAAATCAGCCATGCGATGCGCATGATCTTTCATTTACTTCACAAACGTATGAGTGCTGATGGAATTGTTGAATTGTATTTACCAAGTCAAAGTCATCATCTTATGAAATCCTGTGACATGGTTTGCAAAGTTTCACCACGTTTTACGGAAGTGATTAAGAACCTTCGATTGCCTATTCTTTTGCGATTTGAAGATTGTGGCCTTACAAAGCCCGCTGATAGTTATATTGATGCATTACCGAAGCATTTAACTCCGATTAAATTTGATGATGTAGTAAGGGAGGAAGTCGCTTCTGAGTGCAAAAGTTCCACATGTTCCAAAGCTCGAAGTGGTGCCATATGCCAATTCCAAGAACAATTTCAAAATCTTTTACGATCCGATGAATTCCAGAAGGACTGAGACGGTTACTAGTCCAAAATCAACAGAATCCCAAGGAATTTGAAGAAATCTTGAAGAGACTGCAAACGAATGTAACGATGAAGTGTATTGGATTAAAAAAAATCAGAGTCAATGTGATCGAACGTAGTACGAGTAGAGTATTGGATAATTTAGAGAAGAGTTGCTATGCAGTACAAGAAGACGGCGATTGGTCATTGTACATGCAACACGACTTAAAGGACGATGGAGGAAAGGTTTCAACTACTACCTGTGTTAATAAGATTCTAGAATATTGCATTCGAGAGCAAAATGGGCTGACTGCGATGCTCAACTGCTCATCGCCAAGCGAAATATCAACTGCGTTGAATAACCTTGATATTACACAAAGTACTTCTAAAAATGCCGGGGAGTCGGACGATGAAATGTCTTCTGAAACTGAGAGTGAAGATGAAGAACTTGATGGAAAGGGTAGTGGTGTTGGTTTTGGTGGTGGTGGTGGTGGTGGTGGTGGTTTTGGTGGTGAAGGTGGTGGTTTTGGTGGTGGTGGTGGTGGTTTGGTGTGGTGGTGGTGGTGGTTTTGGTGGTGGTTTTGGTGGTGGTTTTGGTGGTGGTGGTGGCAGTGGTGGTGGCGGTGGATATCCAAGGTAAATTAAATATTTTTCTACAAGAACACCGTAAGGCTGAGCAGTGATTACGGGTACAGCTACGCGTCTGGCCAAACTCGTTGTCGTTAGGGTTTTTCTTTAAAATAATCAAGTTGTACTCAAAAGCCTAACGATAATCAGTTTTGAACGATGTTGTAAGAAAACATCATTGCGGAATCACTGCCAAGTCTTGCTGATGTCATTTCAGGATCTCAATAAGTAATCCATAATTATATAGTCGCCAGGGTGACGCGCATCAAATGCAAATATCTTTAACTCAAAATTACAAAAAAACTTACAGGAATGGTGAAAATGAGAAAATGTTTCCTAAAAGCAACGAGGAAGCGGAGCGGTGGTTAAAACAATCCAAAAACGATTTGGACGGTGCGCAATGGCTGCTCCAAGCCGGCCAACGTTTCAGTGCCCAAGTTTGTTTCCAGAGTCACCAGGTGGTGGAGAAATGCCTAAAAGCAATGTTATTTAACCGCTGTGGAGTGTCAGGAGAATTACTTGCCTCTCACGATGTCGGAGTGCTAGCGAGAAAGCTTAGAGAAGAGACAGGGCTAATAAATGATACAGTCGTGCAGTCGGTCGGACGATTAGCCGACTATTACTTAAATACTCGTTATCCAAACCGTCAACCGTCTGGGGTCATTCCTTTCCAAGCTTTCAGTGAAAACCAAGCAAAGACAGCCGTTGACACAGCCTCGAGAGTCTATGAATTGGTTGGAAAACATTGGTTAAATAAGTAGTTGATCACGAAAGAGAATCTCGAGGCTCGGGCCCTTTTTTTTATAATTCATCTTGTATTTCTATAGAAACACGTGACACAAAATGGCGTTGTGCGTGCAATAATTAACTTTTCTCACGATGCCGCAGTCGTTCGCCTCTGGGGATCTCGGCGACTGTTTTTTATTTAAGGCAAAATTTATTTTGTAAATGATCTGCTCATTCTTAAAAATGACCTTTCATGATGATATATAAAATATAATCACGTTTTAAGAAAGTTGAATGCACCCCCCAAATGCTAGATATTCGTCATCACGAGAAAACCGAATTATGACCTAGATTATGAACATATAAAAACCTGATAATTTGTAACAAATTCTGATTTTACCGCTATTGTGACTGACTTGCCGGGAGGCATTTGTCAAAATGCTGCAGCAAGCCGATTTATTGCTTGTTGCAAGATTGTATAGCTACAACTCTTAGCGAAATGCCTTTGAAGAAACTTTATGCGCTAACATGAGACGAATATACTCCAAAACTTATATATATATTATCCGAAACCTCGAACATGATCAACTATCGTATAACTTTCATGCCTAAATATAGCGGCAAATCCATACGTATATTATCAATAAAATACGGTGTACTTCAGAACTCGTGTGCCGTGTGGGTACTTAAAACCCTCGAAAAGCTCTTGAAAATGCTAATTTTAAGGGCACTCAAAGTTTCTTGAAAGACTCTATATCATAAAAAAGGTTTAAAAATGCTTTGGAAATTAGCAAGTATGTACAAACAAAATTAATTTCGTTAATTCTAATGACACAACAAGATCTTTCGACTTTTTCGTTCCATCATGATATTTTACAAGAATAATCATACTTTTCATGACCTAAAGCATCAAGATTTAGGCGTCTTTAGAAATTTTCTATTCAATCCTTAAAAAGCCCCTTTAAGCGGCGCCCACTGCACGAATTCTGAACTTATTTTTGTCTTTGTAATATGTCTTCAGTTTCTTACCTACTGTTGTTTACAATTATGTTTGTCATTATTGACATGAAGAATGTATCTATACAATTTATATTAAACATTTTAACTAGCATTAAGTATGGCTATGTATAAACTAACGTAGACGGCACGGTAACACAATAAGTGCATGAAAATTTAGAAATTAGTAATTAAGTCTAGAAATGCCACAAAGCTAAATAACATGCATTCCTATATGTGCTACTCGCTAACTCTGAAATAAGCAAGGAAACTGAAAGGTCCAGAAATTGATACCAATATAATTACGAAAAGCTATATACTAGAAGACTAGAATAAGAAATTATATTTATGCATAAATTATAAGAGAGCTACGAGGTTTAGCCTTAACTAGAAATCCCCTAATTCAGTTACGCAGTCATCTCAGGGACTTCACGCATGCGCGTAGTGTTTGGCAGTGATGTTACTAATCCAGCATTGTTATTCCAATAAAACCGGAAGTGGTTAAACCGTCGTTGAACACCAAGCAATATATCAACAAAATGTATTTAGATGCATTAACCTGCTCGGAACACTGAATGCATGGAACTGCCACAGAACGCTGTATTCCTATTTGATTTTTAAAACTTGGCCTAAACTAAAGCTTAGACCAGCAAGAATATTAGGTAAGTGAAGAATGTAGTATGAATGTTAAATAAAACTATTAATGATCAGTCATGCATTATTGTAAGCTTCACATATACAAGCTTTATAAAACCGTACCTGTATGCAGCTGCAAGCTTATCAACAGTGTTATAAAGTAAGTACAATACGTTTAGAGTGGATGTTAGCGCTAGTTAGATTTAGTTCGACCTCACGAGTCCTGTGTGTGATGTTGTATTTCTACAAATTCCATGCAAAGAATAAAGCTATTTTGAAATTCGAGACATGAATTAAAACAAGAAGGGCGAATATATGTGTATGTGTAAATTTTCGAGTTCATTGCAAAGTCCTATTTATAAGTCGAACATTTTCACATAATATTGCGTAGTATTGCGCGCTATTCTGCCCTATACGCAGTCTGCCCTATCTCATGAGACTATATATTAGAAACCTTAAGGTCTCAACGGCAGCAACAGCGAAGACGCTATCTAATAATGAGTAAATCAAATATTTGAAATTTTGGAAAGCGTCCCACTGTTTGTCTCTGTGCTGTGCGTCTTGGGTGGAACGCCAACATGGATAGCTTTGACAGGTGCCACATCAAATTCGGTTTAGTAAATGTTCATGAATAATTTTTGTTATCGTGTTTGTCCGTCTGACATCACCCGATGTGATTGCATGGTTGGCGAGGACTTGTAAGTATCAAATTTAACACAGGCTATTTTAGCGTAAATTATTGCAATACTGAATGTGAATGTGTGTGAATGTGAATGTGTATCGTATCCGATGTGATTATTTAAGAATGGAAATAAATAACTACCCAGAAAAGCCAAATAATATATAGATATTATATAACACAGGATGAGAAACACGGGTTACTTCATCGAATTTTATTCACTACAGAACTGTTTCGCGTAAGGGACATTGTGCGACATTGGACTTGCATGGGCCTCAAAAATATTTGGTTTTGCAAGAAAAAAACCTGCAAAAGGAGTCGAAATACGTGTTCATTATTATCTTAAAACATTCTATAGCTAACAGCCATATTAACAACCCTTTACGATGCCGTTTAAGGGGCAATACTTTGTATGTTTTGTAATTTATAGGTTATTGGGAGAATGTGTCATCAGTTTGTGCCAATATTCTGATCGCGGTTGCCTATAAAAAACTTTTATTTTGACTGCTCGCATACTAGATGCAAGAGATTGGTACTAATGGATGTACAATTTGAAGAAGGTATATAGAATTAATATGCTAATTTTAATTTAGCTAGTTTTTTTCCCTGTTAGCTTGCTCTTTTGCTGTTTCAAGTATTGCTTTTTATGGTTGCTATGAACGGTTCAGAGTCACACCACTATCTTTAACTGTTCTGTCGGTGACAACTCAAAAGTAGGAGCAGACATTATAGTCATGCCTATATGATATATAGATGAGTTGTTCTACGTTGTTCTTGTTTTCCGAGTTTGGGTCTGTTTATATTACCCTTCTTGCCAGGACAGACAAGTACCGCAGACAACAAGCACCAAGTAGCGTGAACAAAGCTTTCCAATTTGTTACAATTTTGTCTTGATCTAGTATTTTTTTCTTACAAAGTAATCCATATTTTCTAAACTTAGTTTACACATGTTGTCCGGGTAAACAATTCATAAGTAGAAAACCGGCCTTAAGAAAGATTCCTCATATTTGCATGTTCTAAAAGCGATTGTTTAATCATATACTTGCTATTATTTCATCCCGACAGATGGTGCCTGTCCGCTAGTAGAGCTAATATTTTGCTTGTTTTCTCTCATTTTGTTTTAATTCATTGATAATCGTTTCAGGTCACATCTTACCTTTTTTAGCAAGAATGAATTTTGTATGTCGTCGTGTATTCGTACTTTGACCACTAGCAATTAAATATCCAAATCCTATTGTCATCAATTTTTCTGCTTCAAGGTCTAAGTATTGTGAACTATTCAACTAGCGAGGATAGCAGATTACAAGAAAATTTGTAATTTATGAATGGTACGACTTATGTTTTTTCCAACAGATCTTTTCGAACAAACAGGGCAGTATGAACCAATCACAACTCGAATTCGAACTATACTCCGTGAATACAAAGACGGCGTCGGTATTTTCAAAGAATTGATTCAAAATGCAGATGATGCTGGAGCTACTAAAGTCAAGTTTTTGGTGGACTGGAGACAAGGAGGAACGAGAAGTCTTTTCTCCCCTGGCATGGCTGAATGTCAAGGACCAGCATTGTGGGCCTACAACGATGCTTTGTTCACTGACGATGATTTTGAAAATATCAACAAGCTTGCAGGAGAAACGAAAGTCGAGGATATTTCAAAGATTGGTAGGTTTGGTCTTGGTTTCAACGCCGTCTACCACCTCACAGACGTTCCTAGTTTCATCAGCCGAGAACATTTGATCGTCTTTGATCCAAATACTCACCATTTACAACGACACATTCAGAACAGATCTCGTCCAGGAATTCGTATCAACCTTGTTGAGAAATCAGACTCCTTAACACGTTACCACGATCAGTTTCAGCTGTATAATGGTGTCTTTGGTTGCAACACAACGCAAACAGAAGACTTTTACTATAACGGAACATTATTCCGTTTCCCTTTCCGCACGGCCGCCCAAGCAAGAACCAGTGAAATCATCAAAACCCCATATGATCGAGACAAGATTCAAGCTATTGTTCGTAACCTCTGTGAATGCGCCTCAAATCTCTTGATCTTTTGCCAACATATAAAGGAGGTACAAATCTACGAACTAGATGAATCGAGTCAACCTGGCAAAATACAGTTGGTGCTATCCATAAACAAAGATAACAAACAATCTGCTTGGGAGATGGGGCAACTAGCAGTAAACAAAGTGCCGTTCATTGTGGAGTGTTCAAAGTGGTGGGAACAACGCCGTGAGTCTCCAAGTCCCCCCGTTGAATTTCCATCTGATTGCGAGCTTGTGAACATTGAGATTACACAGGAGCAATCAGAATTGAGTGGTTGTGGTCGTCGACACAGCAGTGATCATACGTGGCTTGTAGTGTCAGCCAGTGGGAAAAACGCTTCTCTTAAAATCGCAAGTTCACCAGAAGGTCGGGCACGTGGTTTCTTGCCCTGTGGTGGAGCAGCATTTGTTGTTCAGAGATCTTGCGAGCATGACTCCAACTCCGATCTTTCTGGGGAACTGTTCTGTTTTCTTCCATTGTCTATTCCTACTGGGCTTCCTGTGCATATCAACGGCTATTTTGCCATCATGTCTAATCGCGTTGAAATTTGGAAACGGTCGATTTTGCCAACCCAACCAATCGAGGTGGAATGGAATGAAGCACTTATGAGAGATGCGTTAGCCAGAGCTTACATCATGCTTCTTGAAAACATGAAAGATTGGATCGGTAAGATTAAGGATTACAAATTTCACAGTCTGTGGCCAAGCAGTGAGACCGTTGATATGAAATCTTGGGAGAAGTTGGTTCAGAAAATTTACCATATATTGTTGGACGCGCAATCCAAGCTTTTTTTCTGCGACGGAATGTGGATGAGTATCAACGATGGCCTAATATTGAGCGATGATTTTACTGGAATCAACGATGAAGCATTGGAGGTATTACGATTAATGAGGAAATCTGTTTTTAATGTTCCCCCTCGTGTTTTACAGACCTTAAAAAAGTTTGATCGATGGCGTATCCTGGAACGACACACTTTGACATTCACCATGTTCATGGAAGCCTTTATCCCCAAAATTAAGACCTTCTCTGCCACCCTACGAGATACCATCGTTTGCTTTGGTTTGGATCGAATCATGAACGATAAAAAATCCTTTCTTTCTTCAGGCACAAAGGAAATTACTCTCTTTAAACAGAATGCCTGTATTTCAGTTTCACAAGAAGGAAAGATCCTCTCGAAACCTTCGGAACTTATCCATCCGTTTGGTCCTGCAGCTGACTTGTTTTCCGTAGAGGATCACCGTTTTCCTGTAGGAGATGAACTTCGTGAAGGTACCAGATTGCATGTTTTGGAAAAACTTGGTATGGTGAAAGACCTGGATTGGGCCAGAATCTACGAAAGAGCTCAATCCGTCGCTAAAACTAGGGATCCCAGACGATGCCGAGAACTAATCGCATACATTAACAAGCGAATAGAACAACTGCCGAAACCAGTTAAATATCGCAGTGTGTTTCATCAGGTTGAGTTTTTGCCAGTGTTGAAAAAACCCGCCGGTCAGTACCTTTTACCTTGGAAAGGATCGTCAGTTTCGGCATTTTCTTCCTCAAGCGATGCTTTCTTACCAAAAGATGCAAAGCTTGTCGGATCTTCCTGTTTAATCATTGATACAACAGACGAAAGTGGTTGTGGAAAGATGAATGCAAAAGTGAAACATTTTTTTGGATTTTCGAGCCGTCTGCCTGAAGACAAGTTTGTAATTCAACAGTTGGACGAAGCGAATAAATTCTGGAGTCAGTTAAATGAAGAGGAAAGACAAAAAGTGGGAAAGAGATCTGCAATTGAATCCATCTGCCTGAGCATTTATAAGTTTTTTAACACCAGAACTCTTAAGGGTGCTGCAAATCTAAGTTTCTTGAGCGAACTACGTAATCGAAAATGGTTGTTTCTCCAGGGCAAGTTTGTAGAAAGCAAGAAAGTGGCTTACGCGTCTGGCGGAAACGGTGCTCCATTTCTATTCACCCTTCCATCCAACTACTCAAAGGAATGTCCAAATCTTTTTGACGCGATGAAAATCAAACGCGCATTTGATGATGGAGATTACATTTTTGCTCTTTCTGAAATGGAAAGCATGAAGCATGGCGGTGCATTGACTATCGATGAGTTACAAACTGCGATTTTTTTTATCACTGAAATAAACGTCAAAAATCCTGCCGTGAAAGATTACATAGGTAAGATTCCACTCCCAGACACTGACAGCATTTTGCGCCCGAGTAAAGATGTTGTAGTAAACCTTAGCTTGTTGCTCGAGGATTCTGGAAATACCCTTAAAGTACACGAAAGGATTCCACCACAAAGAGCACTTGCTCTTGGCGCAAAATCTCTGAAAAATGTTATGTTGAAGAAGTATTCACGTCCTATTGGCTACGGAGAGTCATTCGGGCAACACGAAGAGTTAACTGACCGACTAAAAGGAATTCTGGATGGTTATCCTGCAGATGGAATACTGAAGGAGCTTGTGCAAAACGCCGACGATGCTCAAGCCTCGGAGATACACTTCATACACGATACTCGACTTCTGAAATGTCAAAAGGTCGTGGTTGAAGGAGAAATGTCTGCGGAAGTGCAAGGACCAGCACTTTGTGTCTACAATGACAGACCATTTACAGACAAAGACCTGGAGGGAATTAAGAATCTTGGTATTGGAAGCAAGCGAGATACTCCAGGAATGACAGGAAAATATGGAATTGGTTTCAATTCGGTTTACCATCTTACCGACTGTCCCAGCTTTTTATCCAACGACGACACTCTTGTGTTTCTCGATCCTCATTCCCGATATTTTGATGATGATGATCGTGGCCAAATATTCAAATCCATGGATGCTGAGTTTCGAGATCTCAACTCCGATACACTCAACGGATATCTTCCTGGTAAATTTAATTTAAAAGGCTCTACTATGTTCCGTTTTCCATTAAGAAGAAAAATAATGAATCTAAGATATCCAACGTGGCCCCTGACATGAAAAAACTTTTGCTGAGCTTTCAAAAGGAAGCTCGTAAGTCATTATTGTTTCTCAATAACATTAAGAAGATAACGTTATCAAAGATTGATCTAAGTGAAAGACTGGAGGAAATATTTTGTGTAGAGTCCGTGATCACTCCGGAGGATGAAATGAAGCGTCAAGAACTGGCACGCCAAGTTGGAGATTTTAAGAACATCCCAACCGCGAAAATAGACTGGGAGGGAGTTAATTACAGCATTGTAATTAATGAAAACAAAAAGAAAGTTGAAAAATGGTTAATACAAAGGTGCGTTGGGTCAGTCGTTTCGACCTGTGCTCCTGAAAATAGCAGAAAGATCCCCGATGGTCGTAAATTTGGTCTTCTTCCACGAGGTGGCGTAGCTGCTCGTCTGTGGATTCATCCCTCGTTCGTCCAGAAACGACCAGATCAAGAATTTCGTGGCATTGTATACTGTTTCTTGCCTCTTCCACAGAATTGTACTGATCTTCCTGTTCACGTCAACGGTCATTTTGCGTTGGATAGCACAAGACGAGGACTTTGGACAGACACTGATGGTAAAGGAGAAAAATGTGAATGGAACAACTTCATGAAAGGCTCTGTATTACCACGTGCCTACGCTGATTTGATCATCGAAGCCCGCGATCATCTGTGCGATGATGACAACCAATTCTCACGTTACCACGAGCTGTTCCCTAGAATTTTGAGGGGTTCGCCTTGGGAAACCCTTACTATTGAATTGTATCGTTATCTTGGACAGACAAGAGCCAATGTGCTGCCATTGCTAGTTCTGGGCGAATCAGGAAACGAAGCGACGATAAATTCTGGTGAATTCCTAACGCGCCACACGTCGATTACCGCCACTTCTAGCTTACACCAACCTGTACGTTTTTCCTGCGCTGAATGGATTTCTGCTGACCAGGCATACTTCAGGCGTTCTAATGCAAGGAAAGATTTTTTGTATCTTTTGATCCGAATTGGCCTGCCTGTGTTGATCCACGCGCCTTATCGAATATGCGAAAGCTTTCGTTCAGTTGATGTTCCTTCGCATGAGGTAAATCCAAACAGCGTGATTAGTTTTTTAAGAGGATTTAATTCGACAGGATCTACTTGCAAGATTGGAAAACTTCCGGAAAAGTTGCGAGCCACTGTCATCGAGAGAGTTGCAGACTTGTTGGCGTTAATAGAATATTGTTGCAGGAATGAGAGTTTCAGCAAACAACTAGAAGGATTACCTTTACTTTTAACACAAGATGGCCACCTACGAATGTTTGAATCACGCCAACCTGTATTTCATTCTACATTTGGCGACCTCTTTCCGACAAAGTCGCACTTGTTTATTCATTCTGAAATTTGCCATGAAATTCCATCAGATTCCACCCTATCGGAAGAAAAGATTGTTCACCATTTAACTGAAAAAGATCTCGCAGAATTACTACCACAGGTGTTCACAGAGAAAACCTTATGTGCTATCAAAAAAATCCACAGTGGAAACTCCCTGCCAAAGGAATTTTTCAGAACAGTGGTTTAGGCGATTTTGGGATTTCCTGCAAAATTACACAAATCCTGAGCCTGGGAAGATTTGTCTCGTTAGAATGCTATCAGAATGGCCAATTATTCCAACGTGTGCAAACTTGTGACAATCAAGGATGCGAAGTCTGTTTTGGACATGACAGTTTTAGGCCACGAGTCCTCCCAAAAGAAAACGTTCGCACATTTTTGAGTAATCTGGAATGTCCAGTACTAGACAAAGACATCACGTTTCAGGAAAGAAATTCCGCGTATGCAAGAATGCTAGTGCTATAACTGGTACTTATGTCGCTCATCCCCACAATGTCAGGGATGTCCTTGGCGTGCTCCAACACATGTCGACGAAAAAACAGATCGACATTTCAAAAGTATGCGAAGATAGCATTCTCGAATTCCTTCGGTTTGTGCAAGATAACTACAGAAGGTGGGGAGAATGGGAGAAGTGCAAGGAAATAACAAAGGAATTACCGTTTCATAAAGCAATGGACGGACAGTTCATTAGTTTGATCGGTCCCTATTCTTCCTATGCCCTTGTTCCGTCTGGCGTCCCAACGCAACAGTTAAATGAGCTGCAAAATCGAGCTGAATGTCTTTTTTGAACTCAGACGCATTATTCACCCTGGAGAAACTTTACACCGATCTTGGCGTCAGAGGTGGTCAAAACGTTACCCAGTTTTACGTGAAGTATGTTTTCGAAAACTTCACCATTTTTACGAGGGAAAGTCAAATGAAGCATTTGCAGTACATCAAAGACAGCATTTTCCCGTCACTTCCTCAAGGTGGATCAAATGAAAAAAGCGTGTTTCTAACGAGTTTTAAAAAAACTCCTTGTATTCCTGACGAAAACGGCAAACTGCACGTTGCAGCTGACTTCTTCGACCCATCTAACGAGCTGTTCAAAGTAATGTTTGCAGACGATCTCAAGAAATTTCCTCCGCCACCGTTCGATGATTCAACTTGGTTACAATTATTGCGTGACATTGGATTGCAAGTTGAGGTCACACCCCAGTTGTTTCTCCGATTTTGCGAGACGGTTTCCGAGAAAGGAAAGCGTTTATCCACCATTCAACAAAGCCGCGTACAATCCAAAGAGCTAGTAAAGTGCCTATTTTCGAGCATTGCCTTCGAAGATGAAAAATTTCTCTACGAGGTATCACAAATCAAGTTCGTTGCCGCTGCGAAAGCGGAGGAGAAACTTACCTCAATTCATGAGCAGTATCAGTGTCAACCTAACAACTATACACCGTTTATTGAATTCCGTGATGCAGTGCCGTGGAATCTCAGATTTACATCATGGTCGACTGTTCCTATTCTCCCAGAGTGGGCACATCTAAACGATATAGTCAAACTAAAAAAACTAGGGGTTGCCTGCTCCGGACCGCAATATAACAAAGTAATCGATCATCTGCAAAACATCGTCAGTTCATCTTCTATAGAGTCTGTTGATGGTGATCTGTTGAAAGAAATTACAAAGTTTATTTTATCAGTTTTTGTCTAATGCCACGCAATGCGGCGGTGGCAATCCTGATGACAAATGCAGTTATATTTGCGTGGATATTGGTACTCGACTAAAAGATAGCTCATGCATATATCTGCCGGAGGATAAAACGTTTGTAAGAGCAAAACACCTTGTGGTCAAAGCACCTCATAAATTCCCTTTTCAACCATTTCTCTATCCTGTCCCTGGCGATTTTGGAGAATTACAACATTTTCTCAAAAGGCTTGGCGCAACCGAAAGACCAATACCGTTGCAGATTGCATACTTTTTGAAATCCATTCACGAACAGATCGGAGAAGAGATGCTATCGTGTGAAGACGAGAAAAAAGTCAAGTATGCGATGCGTATAATATTTCATTTGCTACACAAAGGCGGAAGTGCCTTAGGAATCGATGAACTGTATTTACCAAGTCAAGGTAAACTACTGGTCAAATCCAGCGAGATGGTTTGCAATGTTTCACCACGTTTTGCCGAGGTGATCAAGAAACTTCGACGTCCAATTCTTGTGCGATTTGAGGAGTGTGGCTTGAAGAAAGCGGCTGATGGTTATATTGATGCTCTACCGGAGAGTTTAACTCCCCTGAAGTTCGACGAGATACTGCGAGAAGAAGTCGCGCCTGACTGCAAACGTTCTATCTGTCCCGAGGCTCATGATGGTTCTGTATGCAAATTTCAAGAACAATTTCAGAATTTGTTGAAATCGGACGAATTCCAAGCGGGGATAAAACGACTTCTAATGCACGATCGAAAGAATCCTCAAGAGTATGAGAAAAAGATTAAGAAATTACGGGCAGACGTTAGGACAAAGTGCGCAGGATTCGAAACTATAAAAATCCATATCATCCATCGTGATTCAAATGAAGTCTTGGACAGCTTGGAGGATATTTGCTATGCAGTACAGGAAAAAGACGCATGGACATTGTATATGCAACACGAATTTAAAGATGACAGAAGATTGCTTTCAGCTGCTTCTTGTGTCAACAAGATTCTAGGAGATTGTATAAAAAAGGAGATGGGTATTATAGCAATGCTTAGCTGTTCATTACCATGTGAAATTTCAAGTGAGTTAGATAAACTTGATATTACTTACAGTAGTTCCAAAGGTGCTGATAACTTCGATGACTCGGATGAGGAAATCCTTTCCGATTTGGAGATTGATTGTGAGGATGGAGACGGAAACTATGACTCGAAGCGAGGTAATCGTCGTCGTGGCAAGGGTGGCGGTGGTAGACATTCAGGGTAAGATATTTTTGGTTATGTCGACATAGCCACTGCGATAGTAAGTCTTTAGGGGCTGTTTTTAGGGCTGTTTATAAAAGTTTGTTTCTTAAAGTTTATTGCGAAGTTTCATGCATGTCTACGAAAGCACAGCGTATTAACAGAAATGTAACTTAATTTAAGAAATTTAATGAACTAAATTTAACTAAGATTTAGGGGGGAAGTTTCTTTGGGGTAAAGTGAATTAGATCCATTGAGTGCAAATGCGATAACTTTAATTATGAAATTATATTTTGAAATAAACCTTTATAGGAAAGGTGATGATTATCAGGAAGAAGATGATAATTTTTTCCTAAGAGCAACGAGGAAGCGACGCGTTGGTTACGACAATCCAAAAATGATCTGGACGGCGCGAAGTGGTTGCTGCAATCAGGTCCACCTTTTAGTGCCCATGCCTGTTTTCATTGTCATCAGGTGGTGGAGAAATGTCTTAAAGCGATGTTATTTAACCGCTGTGGAGTGTCAGGAGGACTACTTGCATCTCACGAGATCGGGAATTTAGCAAACCATCTCAGGGAGAAAACGGGATTGCTAGACGAGATGATCATGGAGTCGGTGAGGCGATTGGCCAACTATTACTTAAATACTCGTTATCCTAATCGTCAACCGCGTAATATCGTTCCTTTTGAAGCTTTTAGTAAAAATCAAGCGGAGGCTGCCCTAGAGGCAGCTTCGAATATCTATGAATTAGTTTCCAAACATTGGTTGAGGAAGTGAAGAACACGAAAGATAATCTCAAGCCCTTTATTCTTTGTTTTATTATATATCTTGCTAAAATGGATTCGTATTGTAGCATAATACAGTGAAACATGCGATTTGATTGTGAATGCACGTACCAGTACCGGAATACCAGGTTTAATACCTTTCCGGAATTTTTAAAGCATTGTTGTTTCAGCTGTTTTCACTTTAGTATTAACACTTATACATAGGGTGTCTCAAAAAACCCCAAAACTATTGAACTCACCCAAACAATATAATAGCTGGAGTTTGAATGCCCAAGCAATCTGTTGGGACCCACAAGTGTATAAATGTTTGACATAAGCATTTTTAGTATGCATGGTGACACTAAAATTTGTTTGCATCCACACTTTACACATATATGGATAATAATATTTAATTTTACAACTCAAGCATGTTGTGTTTAGCATAAGTTGCGTAAATTCTCACGGACAAAAATTCGCGATCAATTCATTCAAATCAGTTCAACCTGAATGAGTGATTTCAATAGTTTTGTGTTTTTTTGAGACACCTTGTATAACTTTTCTGAACAAGAACGTGACGCAAGACAGCATGATGACTTGCAGCGAGGATTTCGTCACAATAGTAAAACAAGTCGCGACATTGCACACACTCGGGAAGCAGCAAATGCATGATATACGTATATTTTAGTAAATTAATTTTGTTAGTTTAGTGACAATGACATATCTTTGTGAGTTTTGGCGTTCAAATTATATTTCATGTTTAAGATCATTGTTGCAATAGTGATTCAAAATAGTAGCATGAGTTAAGAAACTGCGGTCGAAAGGCCTGGATCGGTGAGAACGCTAACCTGATAACCTTGAACTGCACTCGGTATCTTAATCTGGAACGAGGCCGTGTCTTGGCTCCTGTGCGAGGCAGACTTCAATCCTTAACTAACTCCGGCTTTGAGGTTTAATCGTTATCCTAATGTCAAATTTCCTGGAGGATAATCTTTTTAAAGTATATCTAAAGTAAAATAAAGTATAATGCCGTGAAAATCATTGATAGATTACGCCATGAATCTTAATAACTGCATGTCAATCAGATCTGGTATGTAAATATTATATTGCAATGCTTTGCGGAAGTGCCGAAGTGGAGACTCGAGACTACGTCTACACTGAGTGACTTCAGACACAGTCTCTTTTGAACTAAATACACGCCTTCTGAATCTCTTGCTTGCTCAAAAGCACATATCTGAAACAAAATTGTGGTATTTAACTGTTAACCTTAAGCATAAACCATATATTGCTGGAATGGTGCTTTCAAGAGTTGTAAAGAAGAAAATTCTCGTGTACTTTTGACGACTGAAGTTTCGTGAACGCCAAATGCCCGTTATGTTTGTTGATATTGATACATGGTAGGTCTGAGTGTGACTATGTTTAAAATACTTGATATTCGTGGCACAAATACGTGCTCGTTTCAAACTATGTGAATTAAAGTCTAATATTGAAGAGGGGTTGTAGTATTTCCACAACGATATACTGAAAGGCCTGTTTACATGAGACCGGTTATCTGAAATCTACCGAAGCGTGAGGTTAATTTGAATTTTTATGAAATCAAACAAGCACATACTATTGCGGGAATGACTACAGGCGGTGTTACACTATAGGCTGCTTTCCACTTACGCGTTTTTTATACGCACGTACACGTACGGAAAATTTTAAATGCTTTTAAATTTTTATTATTTAACATCTAGGTCAACTAATGCATACTAAAATATGCAGAAAACTAAGTTCCTTCGATTTATTCACTTGGTTTTTTCAAAGGTAGCATGTACAAGGATTTAGACTTTTACGTGCGTGTACGTGCGTATGAAAAACGCGTAAGTGGAAAACAGCCTTATGCAACTTTCCTTGCAACTTGCAATGCAATTCTACTCCTGAGGCATCTAAAGTTGACAAATACGAACATTTCTCACGATCTACTAACGTTTTCTAAGCATTTCGAACACTCTTTACTAATTAACATACCTCAAAATTATAATTGCATTGCAAGTTGCAAGGAAAATTGCATAGTGTAACAGCGCCTTACATCACTGGCACGATCACTTTATGTACTCATTTCAATAATATCGGCTAAGCGCGATCATGTAAACAGCTCCTTAGCTTTAATAGGGACGGTCACACTATCAATTTACTGTGAATTTCGCCATTAACTGTGATTTTGCATAAGTACTTTAAATATTTTAACGAATTCGCTGAAAAATATCCAAGGCAACTGAGAGATTAACTATGTAAGTTTCCAACAGACGGTGGGCCTAGTAACTATACAAATAGTTGCCTTTTCTGTAGATCTACCTGCGTCGAACAGCAATTATGTCGTCTTCAACTACAACTTGATATTTGATCACCTAAGACACGACAAGCCGGAAACATGGCCAAACAACATGAAATTGCTCATGAATTTGGCTATCCCGACGAACGATTCCAAACTGTGTTAAGCGACAATTTGCATTGCGCTATTTGTTCGTGCGTGTTGAAGGATCCAGTGATGTGCAAGAACGAACACTGTTTTTGTCGAGCATGTATCACGAAGCATCTTGAAAATCACCAAAATTGCCCTTCTTGTAATGAAGAGCTAACTGTCGAGTCACTCGCAGACGCACCGCGTATTGTGAGAAATCTACTGTCGGAAAAGCGAATTAAATGTGATTACTACGAGCGCGGTTGTGAAGAAATCGTTGAGCTTGGAAACTTGGCAAGTCATGTCGCTGTGTGTGGCAAAGCTCCAGTTGTGTGCTTGAATGAAGAATGTTCAAGAGAGATCAACAGAGAGGATCAAACACGACACGAGAGCGAGGAATGCAGATTTCGTGAAGTGAAATGTCGAAATTGTAAAGAGATGGGCTCCATGATGCAGGAAATTGGAACTAGTTTGGGTGGTCTGTGCGAGCAATTTGCGAAATTAAACGAAAACAAGTTTGACAGCGATGGAAAACAAGTTTTCGGAAATGGAGAACAGGTTTGAGAAAAGAGTAAATCAGTTCATTAACCGTGATGGTCCAAAATGTGAGCCTGGACGGCACAAAGGGGCGCCTGATAACATGAAAGCTGGTAGAAGTGATCAAGCTACTGCAGTTGACCCGTTCATTGACTTGAAAGAGGGGAAGAAATACGCGTATATTGTTGCTGGCGGGCAGGGAACACAGAGGTTAATGAATTCTGCAGAGGTTTTTGATAAAACTTCTAATTCTTGGCAGAAATTGCAACCTATGAAAAGCCGCCGTGCTTTTGCAAGTTCGGTGGTCCACAACGATCAAATCCTTGTTGCAGGTGGGGAGACAGAAGATAACGCTTGCATAAGTAGCATTGAACAATTTAGTCGGTTTTGGTCTCATTTTCAAGTTAATATGCCTAAGGCATTGAGGGAGCATCGCTGTGTTATGTTTGACGATAGAATGTTCATCATTGGGGGCTTTGATCCAGAGAAAAAGCAATATTCTGATCTTATCTATGAGGTCCAGCTACGTTTTCCTTTCAATACAAAAATTTTAGCCAAATTGCCAACATCTATACCCGTCCGAAGCTGCGGTGTTGTTCTTGTTGGTGATAAAATTTTGATGTTTGGTGGTTATAACAGAGGTGGTTATGGCATTACCAATAACGTGACGATGTATGATATATCTCAGAACGAGTTTAAAGAGCTTGCGCCATTACCTACCGGCATGAAAGACGTGGCGACCGTCAAGTTTGTAGAAAATGTTGTTCTTGCTGGGGGTTTCTCGGGCAGTGATGTTTTCAGTTATAATGTCGAGACACAAAAATGTGTCAATCTGCCATCCATGAGTTGCAAACGTCTTAATTGTTGTGCAGTTGTTGATGGACAATCAATGGTGGTGATGGGAGGTTGGTGTGGAAAACCTTTAGATTCAGTCGAAGCCTATGACTTTCGGACCTCTGCGTGGAGAAAGCTTCCTTCAATGAAAGAAGCAAGGCATAACTTCATTGCAGAAATTATCTAAAGCAACCCAGTATTGCAGTTTTAATTGACGAATATAGGCGTCTCACATTAACACTTTTAAAAGGTTTTATTACCAACTAACGATTATATAAACTATTAGCATCATTAGTTGCTAGACACTATATATCTATCATCGTTTTGACGATGATATACATAATAAAATTACGATACATAATAAAAATTTTGTTATAACAAAAAGTTTGTGATTCCATTTGCAACTATATATACGATTCCCACAACTCATTTACCAGAATATAATTGAATCGCTTTTAAATGAGTGCAGAAACAAACAGGGTCGTAGTTAGACCGCTATTAAGAGAAAAGTATATTCATATACTCACACAAAAACAAACGCTTTCAAAATAGATCTGGAACGTTTTTTATAAGGATCCTCAGGACCTTTAAAAGCTGTATCAGTCGCTCTTATTGTCCAACACACTCTTGAAGCAGGCGTGACATGACGCGGTTGACAGCTGGGAAACGGGTTTCAGGTAATATATCTCACCAAGGTATTCTCACCCACTGCATAATCGTCTACTTACGCAGCTGCCTTATTTCTTCCCTAATAAGCTCTCTTCACAGTTCCACCATTCTAGGACTTCCAGACAGTGGATAGAAATGCCACAAAGCTAAAACTATAAAAGCATTTTTCTTAAGCCCTCCAGTAGGGCGTGGCAGATATAGTTAGAATTCCAAGAACCAGACCTTGTTTTTCCAGGAGAAACGGAAGTGATATTATTATAATCTCGTTTGCTCGAATCGAAAGGGATCTTAAACTGGATTATCAGGGAAGCGCTGTATAAAACTGCCAAAAATCGATGTCTAGGCCTGACTCAAATTGAATTTTTCGAAACTCAATCTTAGCTAGGTCTGGCCTAGCAAGAACTTTAGCTAAATAAAGGAAGCAAGGTCAGTATTGATCCTGTTTTTTGCAGATTGTTACGTCAACGCGTACTATTATCGCTGGGTGGTTTTGAACGTCTATTATTCCTTCTGTCCTTGCGTTAAATCGATAAGACAAATATGAAATTGCCTTGTAATGCGCATGTGGCTGCTTTCGATAGACGCATAACAGTATAATTAGCAGTAACGAAAGGAAAAGCTAAATTGAACGCACGGGGCAAATATACTTTAGGTTGCTCAGGGGCCGGCTGTATCAAGCCCGTTCGAACGGCGGATAAGTTCAAAATAGAAAGCAAGTGTGCCGTTCTATGCAAGAAGCGAACTGAATGTTTTCAACCTTAATACAAAGATACTGCTTACAAGTACATATTCAGTGCATAGTATTCAAGTTGACTCATTCAAGAGAGTTCTAAGAGTGTATTTAATTTTGACTTACATCCACCGCTTAAGCTAAACGGGCTTGATACAACCGGTCCCAGATGAACGATTGCTCGTGTAGAACTAATTCTGGCGCAGGGTCTAAGTTCCCCGTAGCAGTCGGGGACAACATACAGTAAATTTTGCAGCTGAATTTGAATTTCAAAAATCTGATCTGGTGTTTGGATAAAAAAGTGATGCTGTGCGTTTGATCACAAGAACAAATCTAAATACATCTGTTGAGAGCTTCCGTCACCTGATACAGCCTCATTTTGGGCTGGTTTTCATTTAGTCATAACTATCGCGAACATAGGTAAAAATAACTTGTTCATGGATCTGTTAATATAGTCAATTAATCGAGAAATAAATGAATCTAGCGAATTATATTAAACGACAACGTCTCATTAAATACAAGATCCTGGCTTTATTTATACTTGACTAAACAAATAGACGTAAAACTCCTAAAATTTTCATTGTTTTGCTTTCTTTTGCACAATAGTAGAAGCAAAAGTGAAGAAAGTATACTAGTGTACACAAATGAAAAGTGTACACTGTGCGCTATTTTGCAAAGTCATAAATTTATACAATATATATACGTAAATAGTTAATACGTATCAGAGTATATGCGCCATACTGTGACATTCCACTCACCGTGTGCTATGATATCTTATTGTCAGTATTATCCGAATTTATTTCTCATGTATCCTATATATAGTGCCTTCATGGATTATATGCTATCCAAGTGTCAATCATGAACAAATGCAATATGCGATGTAGCAGTACTTGTTCTAAATTGAAACTTGTACTTGATTTATTATGGAAAGCAACGTCGCTGTCTGTGACTGAGTTTGTGTGCATACTGTTTTGACAGTGAAAATTGATATTGATCGATATGTGACTTTAATTTTAACATACAGTTTCCAAAATCTAAGCTTTTAGAATGTTTCTGGCTTGAAAAGATCCTGAATGAGAATAATGTGTTCATCCAATCGACCTCTGTTTTAGTTTTAAAGGTTTTGTGAACGTGGCGAGCCATTTAATTATAATACAGGATATGCTTAGAGAAATATGATGAATAATGAAAACGGCTTGCGTACTGAGAAACATCAAATCAATTAATTCTTGTTTTTAATTTTTTTATTATTTTAGAGGATTAACAAAAAAGCTATATTACATCTCATGCAACTATGTGATACGACATGAAATTGTGTGTCAGCTTACATACTTAAAGAAATGGAAATGGCTTCGCTGTTCGAGGAAGGTGATTGTGTCTTATTCGACTTATTCGAAAAAGAGCAAGAGACCTGTAACGAATTACACAAAAATTATAAAATCGCATTACGGTTGCAGAATGTCTATGTAGTTTTTAATGTAGTAAAACTGGAAAATTTAATTGCGAAATATTTGGAACGTGAAAAATAGAGCCAAACAAGGTTGCCAAGCATTGTAAAAGTCAGTGGTACGCGCGTTAAAAACATCATCACGGTTAAAAAATTTTGAAATTACTTGTATATGCGTATGTTTATGTTATAAACAGAGCGATTGCACACAAGTATTTTTCTCCCACAGATCTTTTCGAACAAACAGGGCAGTACGAACCTCTTACGACTCGTCTACGTAATATACTCCGTGAATACAAAGATGGCGTCGGTATTTTCAAAGAATTGATTCAAAATGCAGACGATGCTGGAGCTACAAAAGTCAAGTTTTTGGTGGACTGGAGACACGGAAGAACGGAGAGTCTTTTCTCCCCAGGCATGGCCGAGTGTCAAGGACCAGCATTGTGGGCCTACAACGATGCTGTGTTCACTGACGATGATTTTGAAAACATCAACAAGCTTGCAGGAGAAACGAAAGTCGGAGATATTTCAAAGATTGGTAGGTTTGGTCTTGGTTTCAACGCCGTCTACCACCTCACAGACGTTCCAAGTTTCATCAGCCGAGAACACTTGGTGGTATTTGATCCGAACACTCACCATTTACAACGTCACATTAAGGACAGATCCCGTCCTGGAATTCGCCTCAATCTTTCCGAGAAATCAGAGTCGCTTACACGTTACCAGGATCAGTTTCAGCCATACAATGGCGTCTTTGGTTGCAACACGACGGAAACACGTGAAGCATTCCACTATAACGGAACATTATTCCGATTTCCTTTCCGTACGACCACCCAAGCGAAAACTAGTGATATCATCAAAACCGCTTACGGGCGGGACAAGGTTCAAAGTATTGTTCGTAGCCTTTGTGAATGCGCTGAAACCCTTTTGATCTTTTCCCAACATGTGAAAGAAGTAGAAGTCTTTGAATTGAGTGGACGGAGTCAGCCAGGCCTAATGCGATTGGTACTCTCTGTAAAGAAACCCAGCGTTCAAGTCCTCAGTCAAGAAGGGGTGAACGACAAAGAACCGTTCATTAAACAGTGTTCTAAATGGTGGGGAAAACACCGTGAATCTCAAATGTCTTGCGATATATTTCCGTCCAGTTGTAAGATGGTAAATATTGTGACTACAAAAGAGCGGTCGGAACTGAATGGTTGTAATAGTCGAAAACACAGCAATCAAAAGTGGCGTGTAGTTTCAGCAAGTGGTAGAGACGCATCTCTCGAAATTGCTCGCTCACCAGAAGGTCGTGCTCGTGGCTTTTTGCCCTGTGGTGGGGCAGCGTTCGCGATTCAGAAAGCAGCTAAGAAACGTTCTTACTCAGATCTTTCTGGGGAACTGTTCTGTTTCCTTCCATTGTCTATTTCCACAGGGCTTCCTGTCCATGTTAACGGTTACTTTGCCATCATGTCTAATCGCGTTGAACTTTGGAAACGATCGATTATAGGAAGCCAAGCAGTCGAGGTGAATTGGAACGAAGCGCTGATGGAGGATGCATTGGCCAGAGCTTACATCATGCTTCTTGAAAACATGAAAGATTTGATCGGTAAGGAAAAAGGTTACAGATACCACAGTTTGTGGCCAAGCAGTGACACCGTTGACATGAAATCTTGGGCGAAGCTAGTTCAGAAAATTTGCAGTGTCTTGTTGGATCCAAATTCCAAGTTGTTCTACTGCGATGGAAACTGGATGAGTGTCAACGATGGTTACATACTGAGCGATGAATTTACCGAGATCTACGAGACGACAGTGGACGTTTTGCGATCCCTGGGAACCCATGTTTTCAGTTTACCCCGTAACATATCGAACACTTTGAGGAAGTACGATAAATCCGGGATTCTCCAACGACGAATTTTGTCGTTCACTGTTTTCATTCAAAAATACTTTCTCCCAAACATCAGAATCTTCCTTCCGTCTCAGCGGGACGCCATTGTTTGCTTTGGTTTGGATCGCATCTCTCGAGGGTCTGGATCATTTTTCTACAGAAGAAACAACGAAAGTGAGCTGATCGATCTCTTTAAAACAAATCGTTGCATCTCAGTATCACAAAATCAGATGATCTTGGTGAAACCCTGTGAACTTATCCACCCGTCCAGTGTAGCAGCGAAGTTGTTTTCTGAGCAAGATCACCGTTTTCCAGCTGGAAATGACCTGCGTGATGCAAACAGATTGTATGTTTTGGAAACACTCGGTATGGTAAGAGATCTGGATTGGGCCGGAGTATATGAACGGGCTCAGTCGGTCGCAAAAACTAGAGATCTGGGACGGTGTCGCAAGTTAATCAAGTACATTAGAAAGCGAT